CACCTGCAGGACATGGACAGGTTTAGCCTCCTCTGCACCACCTTAGGGAAGTGGGTGGCCTTGGGTTGACCTGGGATCAGAGTCCCAGTGGCCACCACCTGTGCAGCCCAGAGCAGCTGTGGGACCCAGGCAGGCTGCTGCCTTCTGAACCTCCGTCTCCTCATCTATAAGGTATGGGGGGCATTGACATGTGCCTCTTAGGGTGGCCTGGGATCCCACCACATAAAGAGGACAGACACCAGTGCAGGGTTCCTCTGGAAGTGGTCCTGGGCCAGGTGGCAGGTGAGGTAGCATCTTCAGCAGAGCTGGGAGCAGTTCCACAGTCGAGCAGTGGCCATCAAGGGGCTCAGGGATATCCATCCCAGCACCTGGCTGAACATCTGAGGATGTGAGGGGTGTTGCCCCTGCCTTCAGGCTCCCGTGGTGCCTCAGAGCTGTGATGGGCAGGACTGCACCAGGAGAGCATGGTCAGCAGCCCTGGGCGCACATCAAGCCTGAGGCACCTCAGGGCTGAGGGTCGGGCCAGGGAAGGAGCAAGGAGTCCTTTTCCCTGCCGGCAGTTCATGGGTCACACAGTGAAAGAAAGAGTCACCAAGGGTGCCAGCTCCCGGTGGCCCTGACAGGGTAGCAGCAGAACAAAGGGGGAGGGGACCCTAGAGGAGAGGTCCCAGGGGAGTGGCCCTGGCAGAGGTGGGTGGGTGAGGAGCTTCAAGATGACGAGAATGACATGAGTTACCAAGCCCATCCAGAGGCCAACAGAGGGAGCACAGTGAGGGTACCCTTGGATTGAGTCACTTGTAGGCCACTGGGGCCATGATGGAGTGGCGGTGAGACCACTGGGCTTGAGGCAGGAAGGGATGGGACCATGGCCTCCAGGAGCCCTTGATTACCACTGTAAAGGGCAGGAGAGAGGGAGGTGGCAGCCAGAGGGAAGGCAGCATCCAAGATGGGTTCTGGGTTGGGAGAAGCATAGGGAACTGATTTAGGGGCGGGAGTTAAAGAGGGAGGGGTCTGTTAGGTGAGGAGAGTGACAGGGAAATGGATTGGCCCAGGGGTACCATCTTGAGGGTCAGAGCAAGGAGGTGTCAGGGAGAGGGCCGGTTGCCCTGCTCTGGAGGGACCCAGTGATGTGGAAGTGCCAGGGGTGCCCGCCAATGGAGGGAGGTCAGAGGTCAGGGGCCCTGCTGGGATGCCCTGTGGCGAAGGCTTAGGGGGCTCCTCATGCAGTCCCTAGAAGGGCTGTGTTGCACTCACAATTCCCCATTTCTTACATGTCCCCAACATGAAACCCTGGAAAGTTTGTCAGGTCACAGATAGGCCCTATTCCAGCCCAGGCATTTCATTACTTCGAGGCTGCCCCCTCAAAGAGCATCCTGGCAGGATCACAGCTTAGATGACATCTGTGCTCCTAAGATGACCATCAGGAAGGTCCCTGGCCCTTCATGCTGAGACATGGAGGCGGAGAGGCTGTGGTCCAGGTTCTCTGTAGGAAGAGAGAACTGCTGCTGTGGGCCAGGTAGGGCCAGGCTGGGTCCCAAGCCCAGGATGGGCACATACAGGTCCTTGGGAAACCACAGGTGATTGGTGGCCAGTGGCCTGGGACCTGGATGGGGCCAGGGTCACCAGGGGCTGGTCACTGTTTCAGTCCCAGCATCAACCTCAGCTCCTAGAGTCAGTGGGAAAGGGGGCTGGAGTGGGGTCCAATTACAGTGACCACAGGGAAATGAGGCCACAGATTTCATTGCAGGGATAAGGTGGGTCAAAGAAGGCCACGTGCTCCCATCCTGACAGCCTGGAGCCTGCCTGTGCCTGGGGCGGCCGCTCCCTTGAAGGGCATCCGTCCATCTTGGGGACTGAGGGTCTCTGAAGTCAGGGTGGCTCTGCTGGAAAGCCCTCTGCCACCTTCCTCTTGACTTAAGGGGATGGACTGGGTTGGCCCTGGGAGTGGCTGGGCCTGGAGTGGGCACAAAGAACAGGAGAGGAACTCAGGAAAGGAGCTGTGGTCGGCTGAATTAGGCCCCCAGGGACAGTCATGTCCCAATCCTGGACCTGTCCCTGTGTCATGTTGTGTGGTCACAGGGGCTTTGCCTATGTGATGGTGTTAAGGGGCCTGAGGTGGCAGATGATCCTGGGGTATCCAGGTGGGCCCAAGGTGGGGTCTTTATAAAAGAAAGAGGGAGGCAGGAGGGTCAGAGTGAGAGGAGATGCGGGGATGGAGGGAGAGAGGGAAAGAGAAAGGGAGGGAGGGAGAGAAGAGCAGAGGATTTGAGGATGCTGAGCTCTGGCTCTGAAGCTGGAGGAAGGGGCATCCTCTAGAAGCTGGAAAAGTCCTGGAAACGATTTCTCCCTAGAGCCCCCAGAAAGAGCCCAGCCCTGTTGGCACCCTGATTTTAGCCCCCCATGGACTCATTTTGGACTTCTGAACTTCAGACCTGGGAGAGAATCAATAGGTGATGTTTTAAGCCACTAAATTAGGGGTCATTTGTGACAGTAGCCACAGGAAAGTCAAACAGGTGCCATGGGAGTGACTCCCCAGGATGCTCCTCGGGGATGATGGTCCCTCCCCTGACCGACCCACACTGACCCAGGCCTGACCCCTGCAGGTGCCCCCGCCCTTCCAACACTCTACGGAGCAGGGACCATGCAGGAGGGGCTGGGAGGGGCTGGGCCGTGTTCTCTTCCCCAACACCTTTCTCTCAGAGAGCAGCTGGAGCCCCAGATTGAGGGAGCCCTACAGAGAGTCCTGATGAGGGACATGGTTTTCCAGCGAAGGTTTGGGATCCAATGGAATAGTGTACCCAAAAAGATGTTCCCAAAGACAGCCAGTGACTCTGTTCAGGCACCTGAGAGAATTGCCATGTCTTAGGGCTGCCAGACACTTCCCTGTGTGTGTGTCAAGCTTCAAATCCCATCAATACTGAGGCCTTGGGTAGAACATGTTCCCACTTTTGATTGTGACGAGATGCCTGGCCTATCGTCACATTTTTTTTCACTCTCGAGCTGAACCTGGAGTTGTGTCTGTTCGAAAGGGTCTCCATGTCGTCAGAAGTTATACTGGGGATCTGAGTCTGCAGGTTTTCCCTGACAAACAGGCACCCGTCACAGTCACCGTCCCTATCCGGAGTCCTTGTCCTGGGCATCTGCTCTGGGGTCTTCCTCCAGTGGGGGAATTGGTAAGGGTCCACGTTTAGGAGCTGAGTTTTCTGAGACCCAGCACCCTGTCCATGGTGTCCTGCCTGTCCTGGGGGAGGGAGTGTGACCCAGCACCAGGGGACACCTTCTCACAGGATATTCTTTCTCCATCTTTGTCTTCCTCCCGTTTCCTCCCCCATCTCTCCAAGTCCTCAGTACAAGGCCTGCTGCCACTGTGTTTAACACGGCCCCATAACTGTGATCTCCAGAGGACAGCACCCCAGGAGAGGCTGGGTTACCACACTGATCCAGGAACCCAGACAAGGAGGGACAGAGGTTCCAGACACCCAGCCAGGCTTAGACCTTAGCCTCAGACAAGACAGGCAAGGGAAGAAGCTACCCACATTTCACTTGGGGTGTCAAAGAGGAGACAAGCTGGGAAATTTACCAAGGTTGATCAGCTGCGTGCCAGCTCCAAGCACAGCACACAGTGACACAGCTCCACACACAAACCCTCCTGACCCACCTGACCCATTCCCCACTGCAGCTGCTGGGGCGCCCGGGTCCAGCGGCCCTGTCATGAAGCAGGTGTGGCCGATAGGAGGGTGAGGTGGTTGGTCCCTCCATGTTGGATGCACACTTTCCTGGAAGTTAGGAATCCCTCCAGAATGGGGAGCGGGAGGCGGCACATCTGCACATCACATCTTGATGTCCTGGAGCAAGCCATGTGTCCCGGCTAGGCTCCTTTGGAGACTGTCACCATGGAAGAAGTGAGAAGCCTGTTTATGCCACAGGGAAGGTGGAGCTGGTCCCTATGGAGAACTGAGACCCCTGGGAGGGTCCCGGATGCCTAGCACAGGCCCTAGTGGAATGCGCAAGTGGCAGTGATTCTAAATAGCACCGGAGTGTGTGTGTGCGTGCGTGTGTGCGTGTGTGTGTTTGCATGCAGGCATGTTTGTTTGTAAATACCTGTGTGCGTATGAGGTGCGCATGTGTGTTTATGTTTGTGAATATGTGTGTTTGTGAGTTTGTCTCATATTCCAGGCCTACCACCCCATGCTACCTCCCGGGACAATAATCAATCGGGTTCTTAGGCCCCGCATAGAGCTCTTAAAAAGATCAGTTGGTTTACAGGCATGTCTATGGCACTGGTCTGGAATCTTACAATTGACTTTGCCCTCCACAGGTCCCACTGACCATCCATGGTTACCTGGACATTAGGTTCTTGAGGTGTGGTCAGTTTGGGGCTGCCTAGTTAAGGGTGAGAGAGAGCAGAATTGACTCTTATCTCCCAGGAAACTTGAGTACAAACTGGGACACTGGTGACCCTTATGGGACCAGAGGTACCCAGCTGGCCTGTGGGGTGAGTGACCTGGGTCCAGAGTGTCAGAGTGCAGTGGGTGCCTGCTTCAGAGATGTATGTGGGGGTAGAGGGCAGGATCTTGGGAGTCAGAAAGAGGGTGGGACCCTAAGGAGTTGGGGAGCCCAAGGGCCCACGGACTGGAGAGGCTCCTTTGGCCTTAGAAGGAAGGACCCCTCGAGAGAGGGAGGCTGTCCTTTGGGTGAGGGCTGACGATCCGTGGAGGGAACTCGTTCTCCTGGAGGCCATGGGGAACCAAGGAGAGGTGGCTTCAGGCCATGGAGGTGGACATGTCCACACAAACCCAGCATGTATGGGAAAGAGGGGCAATCCTGGGACCTGCTGCCCAAGGCTCTGTTCTAGAATATTCTCTGGCCCTTTCTAGGTGCCGGTGGAACTACCCCTCAAAAGCAATTCAGACTCCATTTCCTGGCTTCGTTCCCACAAGGCTAAAAGAATTCTGTTCATCTTGCAGGGTGGTCCAGTTAAACAAAACACAAACCCAGGCTTTCTGGTTGATAGTGAGAACATTTATTAAGGGTTTACTGGGTGCAGGGAGAAAGGCTGGATGATGGGATGGAGGAGAGACCCCTCCCCTGGGATTCTGCAGCTGCAGGCCCCACGGGTAGGGTGAGGGTTGGGGGCCTAAGAACATCCTGAAGGGGTCACTGTCTTCTCCACGGTTTTCCCCTCGTGCGTGACGTGGCAGCTGTAGCTGCTGCGAGACTTCCACTGCTGCGGCGTGAGGCTCAGGTAGCTGCTGGCCGCGTACTTGTTGTTGCTCTGTTTGGAGGGTTTGGTGGTCTCCACTCCATCCGTGACGGTGTTGCCATCTGCCTTCCAGGCCACTGTCACGGCTCCCGGGTAGAAGTCACTTATGAGGCACACCAGTGTGGCCTTGTTGGCTTGGAGCTCCTCAGAGGAGGGCGGGAACACAGTGACCGAGGGGGCGGCCTTGGGCTGACCTGGGAGAGGGGCAAAGGGCAGGAGGTCAGAGTCCCGGTGTCCACCTGGGAGCTCCCGGCCTCAGTCTTGAGGTGGGCGCAGGACCAAGGCCCAGGACAGGGACCTGAGGCAGGGCCCTTGCTGCATGAGGTCAGCTCGGCGGTGGTGGGGACGCTCACCTCCCGATGGGAAAGGCCTCAGCGTCCGAGGACTGGGGAGACTCAGGTCTCTTTCACTCCAGCCTCCTCTCTAGATGCCCCTCCTTGTGAGCCAGGCCTTACCTCACCTGTGCTCTCCGCTGCTGGCGGGGCGGGGTTAGCCCTGGGCCCTCGCCTTTCCTCAGGGAATGTCTATGTCTCAACAGCCCTCCCAGGTCCCTCTGTGTCTGTTCACGAGGGCGTCTGTGTCCTGTTCGGAGGTTCTCCTCCCTTTTGAGGAGTCAGTTTCTTCCCCACAGGCCCCCTGGTGCCATCACTGCAGTCCCCACCTCACTTTCCGACCGAGCCGCCTTTTAGGGAGAGGGTGTTAGTCCCGGGCTCTGTCCCTGGGAGTCCCTGGGAGTCCGGGAGATGGAGGGCTTGATGTGAGGTACGTTTTCTGTTCTGAGCCTTGGGCCGTGTGTGCTCCATGGGGTCTCCCTGTCATATTGTGAGATCTGGCTGTTCTAGGATGTCTGTCTGCCCTGAGAGTTCCCTGTCACCTGTGCCCAGCAGGGGTTCCTCCCATAGCATCTGCTTTGGCGTGTCTCCGTTTTTGTGAGTGGGAGGCTCTAGCCTTGACCTGAGTGTCCTGAGACCCACCCTGTCCATGGCAGCCTGCCTGTCCTGGGGGACAAAGAGGGAACCAGCACCCTGGGGCCACCTTCTCACAGGACATTCTCTCTCCATCTTTGTCCCCTTTGATTTCCCCATGCCCCCAGTCAAAGGCTTCCCTTCTAGGTGTTAAAAGCAGCCCCACAGTTAGGACCCAGAACCCTAAGAGCTGAGCTGCTTCCCGCATTCTTCTCCTTTCCCAGGTCCCTGGTACCCTAGCCTGAGTCCCTGTTCCGCTTGTCCCCTGGCCCTCAGACTCTGAGGGAGGGAGCACAACAGCCCAGAGCCCAGGGAGAATGCCCATGGGTGACAGCGGCAGGGTCAGGCCAGAGCAGGGAGCAGGAAGAGGTCACTGGGATCTTTCCATTCTGCCCCATCAGGTGCCTAAGAAGGGACAGGATGGAGGAGTTTGAGGGCAGCAAAAAGGCAATGGTAGCAGACCCCAGAGAGATTGAGACCCCTGCCCCAGACAGAACAAAAAGCTGAGGAAAGTGTCCCCTGAGCTCACCCTAGACCCAGAAGAAGAGAAAAAGGGGACTCACCGAGGACAGTCAGCGTGGTGCCACCGCCGAACACATTACACTGTGATATAGCCCTGCACACAAACCCTCCTGATATGCCTGACCCAGGCACCCCGCAGCTGCTCACAAGGCCCAGGGTCCAGCCCCCACTTCTCATGTGTGGGTGAGCCACAGGTGGGTAGCCTTCGACTGACCTGAGCATCACTTCCCTGGGGGCTTAGGAGTTCATCCACTGCAGTCATAGGAGGTGTTGACAGGTCTGTGTGTGGAGTTGTCTTCCAGGTAATCGCATTTCTGAGGGGCAGTTGGGTGGCCTGGATCAGCCGGTGTCAGGAATGCCAGGGAGCAGGAGGAGGAGGTGAGCATCGGGTGACACCACTGACATGGTGCAGCTGGGACCCCTCTGAGAAGCTGGGAATGGTGGGGAGGGTCCTGGATGCCCCCCACATCGTCAGCACTGGAGCTTACTTGGGATCGGCCTGGAATGACAGCTGGGGGTTGTGGGGAGAATTACATTGACCATGGGGACACAGACCCTCCAGCAAGGCCTGAGCTCCAGCATCCTTGGCTCAACTGATTTGAAGGAGCAGCTCACAGGTCTCTGCCCAAGTCCACCTCCTGAGTCCGTGGGGCAGCTTCCTCCCTATGGGCTGTGTGTGCTGGATCAGAGCTGCAATGGAGCAGAGGAGAGGTCCTCAAGGGGGTCATAGGCCTCACTGGCAGAGTGGTTTCCTCCAGGAGCTCTACATGTGGGGGTCTCTGCTGTCCCCTTCAGCTCCTTCTGGCTTACACATGTACCCACATGTGTAACATGCTCTGCAGTACCCTATGCATACCGGTGACCCACACAGCCTGTCCTCAAGGGTGTCACCTGCACAGGATGCACCCACAGTGGATGGGCACGTGCAGTGTGGGGCCTGAACACACTGGGCCTGGACCTGCATCCTTGTCTGGGCCCATCACCTGAAGAGCTCACACCTGGGACACACACCTGGCACCCCGCAGTCCCCAACAGTGTTCCACACAGCAGGTGCCTCACCTGACCTCTGAGATGTGGCCTGCTGCTCCCTGATCAGAATCCTGTCCTTATTGTCTCCTGTCTCATTCTTGGCCTGGACAGAAAATCTCGCCCCATCTTCCCATGCCCGGGGGCGATCCCCTAGTCCCATAACCTTGAGACTGCAGGTCCAAGCTTTGCTTTGCTCATGTCCTAACCTAGGCCTGACTGAAGCCCTTTTTACCTGGGAACTTCTGATCCTGCCAGAAGGACGCCCAACATGGCATGTGTGTGTGTGCACATGTGTGTGTGAGTGTGTGTGTGTGTGTGTGTGTGTGTGTGTGTGTTAGACCTCAGATCCCATGCTGGGTTTTTCAGAAGACACGTCAGCTTCACCCAAGCCCCTGGCATAAGCCCAGAATCTGACTCTTGACTTTGAACTCACCAGCCAATTGACAGTTTGTGCACTCAGGATATTAGGCACTGATAGTGGCGTCAGTGAGGAGCTGACACTTGTCCCCTAGGAACCTTAAATACAGCTGGGACATCCAATGACACATGTGGGATGAGAGGCACCCAGAGGGGAAGGTGGGGTGAGTAACCAGGGTCCGGGGGTAAGGGTCCTATCAGTGATTGTTACAGGGAGGCCCTGTGGAGGCAGAGGGTAGGGTCCTTGGGATGACAGGAACAGAGTGTGCCCAGGAGGAAGTGGACATGGTCTAGGCTTTGATGAGAGGAAATACAGGTGGGGTGACCGTATGTCCTTGGAGGGGGATGGAAAAACATCTTGAAGGAGGAACAGCATCTGGACAATCAGGGCTGAGGGCAATGGGGAAGGGGGCTGAGATGTTCTCCTGGGGCCATAGGGATTTCAAGAGGGTGTGATCCCGGGCAGCCAGAGGTGGACATGTCCACAGGGCATCAGGAAATCCAGCAGAGACCTGGGTAAGAAGCAAGATGCCTGGGTCTGACTATTTCCTTATTCTGGAACATTCTATGGGGAGAGGGTGATGAACAAAGTGTGCCTCAGGAAACATCAGGATGCTCCCCACTGTTTTTTCAGAAGTTCAGAGGGTTCTGTTCACCTTTGGAGATGGTCAAATTTAGGATGGAAAATGTATAAGCAAAAATGAGCAGACAGCATGTTTTCTGATTGACAAGGATGACATTTATTGAGAGTTTACTGGGTGTAGGCAGAAGGGCTGGATGGCTTGGGGTGGGAGGGAATCTGTCCTGGGATTCTGCAACTGCAGGCCCCACGGGTGGGGTGAGGGTTGGGGGCCTAAGAACATCCTGAAGGGGCCACTGTCTTCTCCACGGTTTTCCCCTCGTGCGTGACGTGGCAGCTGTAGCTGCTGCGAGACTTCCACTGCTGCGGCGTGAGGCTCAGGTAGCTGCTGGCCGCGTACTTGTTGTTGCTCTGTTTGGAGGGTTTGGTGGTCTCCACTCCATCCGTGACGGCGTTGCCATCTGCCTTCCAGGCCACTGTCACGGCTCCCGGGTAGAAGTCACTTATGAGGCACACCAGTGTGGCCTTGTTGGCTTGGAGCTCCTCAGAGGAGGGCGGGAACACAGTGACCGAGGGGGCGGCCTTGGGCTGACCTGGGAGAGGGGCAAAGGGCAGGAGGTCAGAGTCCCGGTGTCCACCTGGGAGCTCCCGGCCTCAGTCTTGAGGTGGGCGCAGGACTAAGGCCCAGGACAGGGACCTGAGGCAGGGCCCTTGCTGCATGAGGTCAGCTCGGCGGTGGTGGGGACGCTCACCTCCCGATGGGAAAGGCCTCAGCGTCCGAGGACTGGGGAGACTCAGGTCTCTTTCACTCCAGCCTCCTCTCTAGATGCCCCTCCTTGTGAGCCAGGCCTCACCTCACCTGTGCTCTCCGCTGCTGGCGGGGCGGGGTTAGCCCTGGGCCCTCGCCTTTCCTCAGGGAATGTCTCTGTCTCAACAGCCCTCCCAGGTCCCTCTGTGTCTGTTCATGAGGGCGGCTGTGTCCTGTTTTGAGGTTCTCCTCCCTTTTGAGGAGTCAGTTGCTTCCCCACAGGCCCCCTGGTGCCATCACTGCAGTCCCCACCCCTCTTTCCCACTGAGCCCCCTTGTTGGGGAGAGGTCGTGAGTCCCGGGCCCGGTCCCCGGGAGTCCCTGGGAGTCCGGGAGATGGAGGGCTTGATGTGAGGTACATTTTCTGTTCTGAGCCTGGGGCTGTGTGTGCTCCATGGGGTCTCCCTGTCATATTGTGAGATCTGGCTGTTCTAGGATGTCTGTCTGCCCTGCGAGTTCCCTGTCACCTGTGCCCAGCAGGGGTTCCTCCCATAGCATCTGCTTTGGCGTGTCTCCTTTTTTGTGAGGGGGAGGCTCTAGCCTTGGCCTGAGTGTCCTGAAACCCACTGTGTCCACGGCAGCTTGCCTGTCCTGGGGGACAAGGAGGGACCCAGCACCCTGGGGCCACCTTCTCACAGGACATTCTCTCTTCATCTTTGTCCCCTTTGATTTCCCCATGTCCCCAGTCAAAGGCTTCCCTTCTAGGTATTTAAAGCAGCCCCATAGTTAGGACCCAGAGCCCTAAGAGCTGAGCTGTTTCCCGCATTCTTCCCCTCTCCCACCGCCCTGGTACCCCAGCCTGAGTCCCTGTTCCGCTTGTCCCCTGGCCCTCAGACTCTGAGGGAGGGAGCACAACAGCCCAGAGCCCAGGGAGAATGCCCATGGGTGACAGCGGCCGGGTTATGTCTGAGCAGGGAGCAGGAAGAGGTCACTGGGATCTTCCCTCTCTGCCCCATCAGGTGCCTAAAAAGGGACAGGCTGGAGGAGTTTGGGGCCAGCAAAAAGGCAATGGTAGCAGACCCCAGAGATTGAGACCCCTGCCCCAGACAGAACACAAAGAAGAGGAAAGTGTTTCCTGAGCTTACCCTAGACCCAGAAGAAGAGAAAAAAGGGACTCACCGAGGACAGTCAGCGTGGTGCCACCGCCGAACACAGCACACTGTGATATAGCCCTGCACACAAACCCTCCCGATTTGCCCAACCTAGGCCCCCCTGCAGCTGCTCACAAGGCCCAGGGTCCAGCCCCCTCTTCTCATGGGTGGGTGAGCCACAGGTGGGTTGCCTTCCACTGACCCAAGCATCACTTCCCTGGGGCCTAGGAGTTCATCCACCCAGTCATGGGAGGTGTTGACAGGACTGTGTGTGGACTTGTCTTCCAGGTAATCACATTTCTGAGGGGCCCTTGGGTGGCCTGAATCAGCTGGTGTCAGGAATGCCAGGGAGGCAGGAGGAGGAGGTGAGCGTTGGGTGACACCACTGACATGGTGCAGCTGCGACCCCTCTGAGAGGCTAGGAATGGTGGAGAGGGTCCTGGATGCCCTACCTCCCAAACCCTCAGCACTGAAGCTCATGGTGGGATCAGCCTGGAATGACAACTGGCGGTTGTGGGGAGAATGACGTTGACCACGGGGACACAGACCCTCCTTCAAGGCCTGAGCTCCAGCATCCTTGGCTCAGCTGATCTGAAGGAGCAGCTCACAGGTCTCTGCCCGAGTCCCCCCTTCCTGAGCCCGTGGGGCAGCTTCCTCCCTATGGGCTGTGTGTGCTGGATCAGAGCTGCAATGGAGCAGAGGAGAGGTCCTCAAGGGGGTCATAGGCCTCACTGGCAGAGTGGTTTCCTCCAGGAGCTCTACGTGTGGGGGTCTCTGCTGTTCCCTTCAGCTCCTTCTGGCTTACACATGTACCCACATGTGTAACATGCTCTGCAGTACCCTATGCGCAGTGGTGACCCACACAGCCTGTCCTCAGGGGTGTCACCCGCACGAGATGCACCCACAGTGTATGGGCACGTGCAGTGTGGGGCCTGGACACACTGGGACTGGACTTGCATCCTGGTCTGGGCCCATCGTCTGAAGAGCTCACACCTGGGACACACACCTGGCACCCCGCAGTCCCAACAGAGTCCCCCACAGCAAGCGCCTCACCTGATCTCTGAGATGTGGCCTGCTGCTCCCCGATCAGAATCCTGTCCTTATTGTCTCCTATCTCATTGTTGACCTGGACAGAAAATCCCGCCCCATCTTCCCATGCCTGGGGGCGATCCCCTAGTCCCAAAACCTGGAGACTGCAGGTCCAAGCTTTGCTTTGCTCATGTCCTGACCTAGGCCTGACTATAGCCCTTTTTACCTGGGCACTTCCTGATCCTGCCAGAAGGATGCCCAACATGGGCATGTGTGTATGTGCACTGTGTGTGTGTGCACGTGTGTGTGTTGTGTGTGTTAGACCTCAGATCCCATGCTGCATTCTTCAGAAGACAAGTCAGCTTCACCCAAGCGCCTGGCATAAGCCCAGAAACAGACTCTTGACTTTGAACTCACCAGCCAATTGACAATTTGTGCACTCAGGACGTTAGGCACTTATAGTGGCGTCAGTGAGGAGCTGACACTTGTCCCCTAGGAACCTTAAATACGGCTGGGACATCCAGTGACACATGTGGGATGAGAGACACCCAGAGGGGAAGGTGGGGTGAGTAACCAGGTCCAGGGGGTAAGGGCCCTATCAATGAATGGGAGGCCCTGTGGGGGCACAGGGTAGGGTCCTTGGGATGACAGGAACAGAGTGTGCCCAGGCGGAAGGAGACTTTGATGAGAGGAAATATGGGTGAGGTGACCTTTATGGACTTGGAGGGGGATCGAAAAACACCTTGAGGGAGGAACAGCATCTGGACAATCAGGGCTGAGGGCAATGGGGAAGGGGGCTGAGATGTTCTCCTGGGGCCATAGGGATTTCAAGAGGGTGTGATCCCGGGAAACCAGAGGTGGACATGTCCACAGGGCATCAGGAAGCACAGGACAGACGTGGGTAAGAAAGAAGTTGCCTGGGTCCAACTATTTCTTTATTCTGGAACATTTTATGGGGATAAGGTGATGAACAAAGTATGCCTCAGAGAAGCATCAGGATGCTCCCCGCTGTTTTTTCAGAAGTTTAGAGGGTTCTGTTCACCTTTGGAGATGGTCAAATTTAGGATGGAAAATATATAAACAAAAATGAGCAGACAGCATGTTTTCTGATTGACAAGGATGACATTTATTGAGAGTTTATTGGGTGTAGGCAGAAGGGCTGGACGGCTTGGGGTGGGAGGGAATCTGTCCTGGGATTCTGCAGCTGCAGGCCCCACGGGTAGGGTGAGGGTTGGGGGCCTAAGAACATCCTGAAGGGGTCACTGTCTTCTCCACGGTTTTCCCCTCGTGCGTGACGTGGCAGCTGTAGCTGCTGCGAGACTTCCACTGCTGCGGCGTGAGGCTCAGGTAGCTGCTGGCCGCGTACTTGTTGTTGCTCTGTTTGGAGGGTTTGGTGGTCTCCACTCCATCCGTGACGGTGTTGCCATCTGCCTTCCAGGCCACTGTCACGGCTCCCGGGTAGAAGTCACTTATGAGGCACACCAGTGTGGCCTTGTTGGCTTGGAGCTCCTCAGAGGAGGGCGGGAACACAGTGACCGAGGGGGCGGCCTTGGGCTGACCTGGGAGAGGGGCAAAGGGCAGGAGGTCAGAGTCCCGGTGTCCACCTGGGAGCTCCCGGCCTCAGTCATGAGGTGGGCGCAGGACTAAGGCCCAGGACAGGGAACTGAGGCAGGGCCCTTGCTGCATGAGGTCAGCTCGGCGGTGGTGGGGACGCTCACCTCCCGATGCGAAAGGCCTCAGTGTCCGAGGACTGGGGAGACTCAGGTCTCTTTCACTCCAGCCTCCTCTCTAGATGCCCCCACCTTGTGAGCCAGGCCTCACCTCACCTGTGCTCTCCGCTGCTGGCGGGGCGGGGTTAGCCCTGGGCCCTCGCCTTTCCTCAGGGAATGTCTCTGTCTCAACAGCCCTCCCAGGTCCCTCTGTGTCTGTTCATGAGGGCGGCTGTGTCCTGTGTGGAGGTTCTCCTCCCTTTTGAGGAGTCAGTTGCTTCCCCACAGGCCCCCTGGTGCCATCACTACAGTCCCCACCCCTCTTTCCCACTGAGCCCCCTTGTTGGGGAGAGGTCGTGAGTCCCGGGCCCGGTCCCCGGGAGTCCCTGGGAGTCCGGAAGATGGAGGGCTTGATGTGAGGTACGTTTTCTGTTCTTAGCCTTGGGCCATGTGTGCTCCGTGCGATCTCCCTGTCATATTGTGAGATCTGGCTGTTCTAGGATGTCTGTCTGCCCTGCGAGTTCCCTGTCACCTGTGCCCAGCAGGGGTTCCTCCCATAGCATCTGCTTTGGGGTCTCTCCTTTTTTGTGATGGGGAGGCTCTCGCTTTGGCCTGAGTGTCCTGAGACCCACCCTGTCCATGGCAACCTGCCTGTCCTGGGGGACGAGAAGGGACCCAGCACCCTGGGGCCACCTTCTCACAGGACATTCTCTCTCCATCTTTGTCCCCTTTGATTTCCCCACATCCCCAGTCAAAGGCTTTCCTTCTAGGCGTTTAAAGCAGCCCCATAGTTAGGACCCAGAGCCCTAAGAGCTGAGCTGTTTCCCGCATTCTTCCCCTCTCCCACCGCCCCGGTACCCCAGCCTGAGTCCATGTTCCGTTTGTCCCCTGGCCCTGAGACTCTGAGGGAGGGAGTGGAACCCAGAGCCCAGGGAGAATGCCCATGGGTGACAGCGGCAGGGTCAGGCCAGAGCAGGGAGCAGGAAGAGGTCACTGGGATCTTCCCTCTCTGTCCCATCAGGTGCCTAAAAAGGGACAGGCTGGAGGAGTTTGGGGCCAGCAAAAAGTCAATGGTAGCAGACCCCAGAGATTGAGACCCCTGCCCAGGATAGAATAAAAAGTAGAAGAAAGTCTCCTGAGCTCACCCTAGACCCATAAGAAGAGAAAAAAGGGACTCACCGAGGACAGTCAGCGTGGTGCCACCGCCGAACACATAACACTGTGATATAGCCCTGCACACAAACCCTCCTGATATGCCCAAACCAGGCCCCACTGCAGCTGCTCACAAAGCCCACGGTCCAGCCCCCTCTTCTCATGGGTGGGTGAGCCACAGGTGGGTAGCCTTCCACTGACACGAGCATCACTTCCCTGGGGACTTAGGATTTCATCCACCCCTGTCATGGGAGGTGTTGACAGGTGTGTGTGTGGAGTTGTCTTTCAGGTAATCACATTTCTGAGGGGCAGTTGGGTGGCCTGGATCAGCTGGTGTCAGGAATGGCAGGGAGCAGGAGGAGGAGGTGAGCGTTGGGTGACACCACTGACATGGTGCAGCTGGGACCCCTCTGAGAAGCTGGGAATGGTGGAGAGGGTCCTGGATGCCCCCCGCATCCTCAGCACTGGAGCTTACTTGGAATCGGCTTGGAATGACAGCTGGGGGTTCTGGGGAGAATGACATTGATCACGGGGACACAGACCCTCCAGCAAGGCCTGAGCTCTAGCATCCTTGGCTCAGCTGATCTGAAGGAGGAGCTCACAGGTCTCTGCCCGAGTCCCCCCTTCCTGAGCCTGTGGGGCAGCTTCCTCCCTATGGGCTGTGTGCGCTGGATCAGAGCTGCAATGGAGCAGAGGAGAGGTCCTCAAGGGGGTCATAGGCCTCACTGGCAGAGTGGTTTCCTCCAGGAGCTCTACGTGTGGGAGTCCCTGCTGTCACCTTTGGCTCCTTCTGGCTCACACATGCATCCACATGAACATGCTCTGCAGTCCCCTATGGCAGTGGTGACCCACATAGCCTGTCCTCAGGGAATGCACCCACAGTGGATGGGCACGTGCAGTGTGGGGCCTGGACACACTGGGCCTGGACCTGCATCCTGGTGTGGGCCCATCACCTGAAGAGCTCACACCTGGGACACACACCTGGCACCCCGCAGTCCCCAACACTGTCGCCCACAGCAAGCGCCTCACCTGACCTCTGAGATGTGGCTTGCTGCTCCCCGGTCAGAATCCTGTCCTCATCGTCTCTTGTCTCTTTCTTGGCCTGGGCAGAAAATTCCGGCCCATCTTCCCATGCCCGGGGCGATCCCCTAGTCCCCAAATCTGGAGACTGCAGGTCCAAGCTTTGCTTTGCTCATGTCCTAACCTAGGCCTCACTAAAGCCCTTTTTACCTGGGCATTTCCTGATCCTCCCAGAAGGATGCCCAACATGGGCCTCTGTGTGTGTGTGTGTGTGTGTGTGTGTGTGTGTGTGTGTGTGTGTGAGTGTGTGTGTGTGTGTGTGTCTGTGTGTGTGTTAGAGCTCAGATCCCATGCTGTGTTCTTCAGAAGACACGTCAGCTTCACCCAAGCCCCTGGCATAAGCCCAGAGTCTGACTCTTGACTTTGAACTCAACTCATCAGCCAATTGACAACTTATGTACTCAGGACATTAGGCACTCATAGTGGCGTCAGTGAGGAGCTGACACTTGTCCCCTAGGAACCTTAAATACAGCTGGGACATCCAGTGACACATGTGGGATGAGAGACACCCAGAGGGGAAGGTGGGATGAGTGACCAGGGTCCAGGAGGTAAGGGTCCTATCAGTGATTGTTACAGGGAGGCCCTGTGGGGGCAGAGGGCGGGGTCCTTGTGATCACAGTAATAAGAGTGTGCCCAGGAGGAAGGAGACATGGTCTAGGCTTTGATGACAGGAAATACAGGTGGGGTGACTATATGGCCTTGGTAGGGGGTGGGAAAACACCTTGAGGGAGGAACAGCATCTAGACAGTGAGGGCTGAGGGCAACAGAGAAGGGGGCTGAGATGTTCTCCTGGGGCCCTGGGGATGTGAGGAGGGTGTGATCCCAGGCAGCCAGAGGTGGTCATGTCCACAGAGCATCAGGAAGCACAGCAGAGACGTGAGTAAGAAGCAAGTTGCCTGAGTCCGACTATTTCCTTGTTCTGGAACATTCTATGGGGATAGGATGTTGAACAAAGTGTGCCTCAGAGAAACATCAGGATGCTCCGTGGTTGCTTTGTCACAAGTTCAAAGGATTCTGTTCACCTTTGGAGATGGTCAGATTTAGGATGGAAAATGTATAAACAAAAATGAGCAGACACAACATGTTTTCTGATTGACAAGGAGGACATTTACTGAGAGTTTATTGGGTATAGGCAGAAGGGCTGGATGACTTTTGGTGGGAGGGAATCTGTCGTGGGATCAGGGTTGGGGGCCTGAGGACATCCCGCAGTGGCCACTGTCTTCTTCATGGTGCTCCCCTCGTGTGTGACATGGCAGCTGTAGCTGCTGTGGGACCTCCACTGCTCAGGCGTCAGGTTCAGGTAGCTGCCGGCTGCCCAATTGTTCCTGTTCTATTTGGAGGGTTTGGTGGTCTCCACATCCTTGGTAACGGGGTTGCCATCTGCCTTCCAGGCCCCTGTCATGGCTCCCAGGTAGAAGTCACTCATGATATACACCAATATGGCCTTGTTGGCTTGGAGCTCCTCAGAGGAGGGCAGGAACAGAGTGACCCGAGGGGCGGCCTTGGGCTGACCTGTGGGGTAAGCGAGGGGCAGGAGGTGAGAGTCCTGGTGTCTACCTGGGGAGCCTCTAACTTCAGTCTTGAGTTGAGTATGGGACTAAGGCCGAGGGCAGGGACCTCAGGCCGGACCGTTGCTGGACTGAGGTCAGGTCAGTGGTGAGCGGAGACACTCACTGTCAGATGGGAGGCTCTCCAGTGCCCCACTCTTGGGGAGTCACAAACCCGCTCTTGCATCTGCCTCTTTTTTATATGTCCCACCACCTACCGACTCCCACCTATGCTCCCTCCACACTGGTTGGGATGCAGTCCGGAACCACCTCTCACCTGGGTATCTGTCTGTGTTGGGGGTGTCTGTCTGAACACCTCCTACCAGCTCCCCTTGTTCTCATCTCTTCATGCAGTGCAGCTGCTGGTCCTGGGTTCAGGCTCTTCTCTCTCACAGGGAGTGAGTTTCTTGCCCACACATTCCCCTGGCACCATCATTGCAGCCCCCACCCCACTTCCCTGCAGATACCCCTCTGGGCTGCCTGGTGAGAGTGGGTGTCAGTCTCAGGAGATGCATTCCAGTTGATCAAAGGCTTCCATTTGAGGCATTTTTTTTTCACTCTCAGAGCTGAACCTGGAGCTGTGTTTGTTCAAAAGGGTCTCCATGTCGTCAGAAGTTTTACTGGGGATCTGAGTCTCCAGTGGGTTTTCCCTGACAAGCAGGCACCCATCCCAGTCACCGTCCCTATCCGGAGTCCTTGTCCTGGGCATCTGCTGTGGGGTCTTCCTCCAGTAGGGGAATTGGTAAGGGTCCACATTTAGGAGCTGAGTTTTCTGAGACCCAGCACCCTGTCCGTGGTGTCTTGCCTGTCCTGGGGGAGGGAGTGTGACCCAGCACCGGGGGCCACCTTCTGACAGGATATTCTTTCTCCATCTTCGTCTTCCTCCTGTTTCGTCCCCCATCTCTCCAAGTCCTCAGTCCAAGGCCTGCTGCCATGGTGTTTAACACAGCCCCATAACTGGGATTCCCCAGAGGACAGAACCACAGGGGAGGACAGCACCCCAGGAGAGGCTGGGTTACCACACTGATCCAGGAACCCAGACAAGGAGGGACAGAGGTTCCAGACACCCAGCCAGGCTCAGACCTTAGCCTCAGACAAGACAGGCAAGGGAAGAAGCTACCCACATTTCACTTGGTCAAAGAGGAGAGAAGCTGGGAAACTTACCAAGGATGGTCAGCTGGGTGCCAGCTCCGAGCACAGCACACAGTGACACAGCTCCACACACAAACCCTCCTGACACACCTGACCCATTCCCCACTGCAGCTGCTGGGGCGCCTGGGTCCAGCGGCCCTGTCATGAAGCAGGTGTGGCCGATAGGAAGGTGAGGTGGTTGGTCCCTCCATGTTGGATGCACACGTTCCTGGAAGTTAAGAATCCCTCCAGAATGGGGAGCGGGAGGCGGCACATCTGCACATCACATCTTGATGTCCTGGAGCAAGCCATGTGTCCCGGCTAGGCTCCTTTGGAGACTGTCACCATGGAAGAAGTGAGAAGCCTGTTTATGCCACAGGGAAGGTGGAGCTGGTCCCTATGGAGAACTGAGACCCCTGGGAGGGTCCTGGATGCCTGGCACAGGCCCTAGTGGGATGCCCACATGGCAGTCATTCTAAATAGTACCGGGGTGTGTGTGTGTGTGTGTGTGTGTGTGTGTGTGTGTGTGTTTGTGTGCATGCAGGCATATTTGTGAATACCTGTGTGCATATGAGGTGCGCATGTGTGTTTATGTTTGTGAATATGTGTGTTTGTGAGTTTGTCTCATATTCCAGGCCTACCACCCCATGCTACCTCCCGGGACAATAATCAGTCGGGTTCTTAGGCCCCACATACAGCTCTTAAAAAGACCAACCGGTTTACAGGCACGTCTATGGCACTGGTCTGGAATCTCATGATTGACTTTGCCCTCCACAGGTCCCACTGACCATCCATGGACACCTGGACATTAGGTTCTTGAGGTGTGGTCAGTTTGGGGCTGCCTAGTTAAGGGTGAGAGAGAGCAGAGTTGACTCTTATCCCCCAGGAAACTTGAGTACAAACTGGGACACTGGTGACACTTGTGGGACCAGCTGGCCTGTGGGGTGAGTGACCTGGGTCCAGAGTGTCAGAGTCCAGTGGGTGCCTGCTTCAGAAATGTATGGGGGGTAGAGGGCAGGATCTTGGGAGTCAGAAAGAGGGTGGGACCCTAAGGAGTTGGGGAGCCCAAGGGCCCACGGACTGGAGAGGCTCCTTTGGCCTTAGAAGGAAGGACCCCTCGAGAGAGGGAGGCTGTCCACTGGGTGAGGCCTGACGATCCGTGGAGGGAACTCGTTCTCCTGGAGGCCATGGGGAACCAAGGAGAGGTGGCTTCAGGCCATGGAGGTGGACATGTCCACACAAACCTAGCATGTATGGGAAAGAGGGGCAACCCTGGGACCTGCTGCCCAAGGCTCTGTTCTAGAATATTCTCTGGCCCTTTCTAGGTGCGGGTTGGAACTACCCCTCAAGAGCAATCCAGACTCCATTCCCTGGCTCCATTCCCACAAGGCTAAAAGAATTCTGTTCATCTTGCAGGGTGGTCCAGTTAAACAAAATACAAACCCAGGCTTTCTGGTTGATAGTGAGGACATTTATTAAGGGTTTACTGGGTGCAGGGAGAAAGGCTGGATGACAGGATGGGGCAGAGACCCCTCCCCTGGGATTCTGCAGCTGCAGGCCCCACGGGTAGGGTGAGGGTTGGGGGCCTAAGAACATCCTGAAGGGGTCACTGTCTTCTCCACGGTTTTCCCCTCGTGCGTGACGTGGCAGCTGTAGCTGCTGCGAGACTTCCACTGCTGCGGCGTGAGGCTCAGGTAGCTGCTGGCCGCGTACTTGTTGTTGCTCTGTTTGGAGGGTTTGGTGGTCTCCACTCCATCCGTGACGGTGTTGCCATCTGCCTTCCAGGCCACTGTCACGGCTCCCGGGTAGAAGTCACTTATGAGGCACACCAGTGTGGCCTTGTTGGCTTGGAGCTCCTCAGAGGAGGGCGGGAACACAGTGACTGAGGGGGCGGCCTTGGGCTGACCTGGGAGAGGGGCAAAGGGCAGGAGGTCAGAGTCCCGGTGTCCACCTGGGAGCTCCCGGCCTCAGTCTTGAGGCGGGCGCAGGACTAAGGCCCAGGACAGGGACCTGAGGCAGGGCCCTTGCTGCATGAGGTCAGCTCGGCGGTGGTGGGGACGCTCACCTCCCGATGCGAAAGGCCTCAGCGTCCGAGGACTGGGGAGACTCAGGTCTCTTTCACTCCAGCCTCCTCTCTAGATGCCCCCACCTTGTGAGCCAGGCCTCACCTCACCTGTGCTCTCCGCTGCTGGCGGGGCGGGGGTTAGCCCTGGGCCCTCGCCTTTCCTCAGGGAATGTCTATGTCTCAACAGCCCTCCCAGGTCCCTCTGTGTCTGTTCACGAGGGCGTCTGTGTCCTGTTTTGAGGTTCTCCTCCCTTTTGAGGAGTCAGTTTCTTCCCCACAGGCCCCCTGGTGCCATCACTGCAGTCCCCACCTCACTTTCCGACCGAGCCGCCTTTTAGGGAGAGGGTGTTAGTCCCGGGCTCTGTCCCTGGGAGTCCCTGGGAGTCTGGGAGATGGAGGGCTTGATGTGAGGTACGTTTTCTGTTCTGAGCCTTGGGCCATGTGTGCTCCATGGGGTCTCCCTATCATATTGTGAGATCTGGCTGTTCTAGGATGTCTGTCTGCCCTGCGAGTTCCCTGTCACCTGTGCCCAGCAGGGGTTCCTCCCATAGCATCTGCTTTGGCGTGTCTCCTTTTTTGTGAGTGGGAGGCTCTAGCCTTGGCCCGAGTGTCCTGAGATCCACCCTGTCCATGGCAGCCTGCCTGTCCTGGGGGACGAGGAGGGACCCAGCACCCTGGGGCCACCTTCTCACAGGACATTCTCTCTCCATCTGTGTCCCTTTTGATTTCCCCATGTCCCCAGTCAAAGGCTTCCCTTCTAGGTGTTAAAAGCAGCCCCACAGTTAGGACCCAGAACCCTAAGAGCTGAGCTGTTTCCCGCATTCTTCCCCTCTCCCACCGCCCTGGTACCCCAGCCTGAGTCCCTGTTCCGCTTGTCCCCTGGCCCTCAGACTCTGAGGGAGGGAGCACAACAGCCCAGAGCCCAGGGAGAATGCCCATGGGTGACAGCGGCCGGGTTATGTCTGAGCAGGGAGCAGGAAGAGGTCACTGGGATCTTCCCTCTCTGCCCCATCAGGTGCCTAAAAAGGGACAGGCTGGAGGAGTTTGGGGCCAGCAAAAAGGCAATGGTAGCAGACCCCAGAGATTGAGACCCCTGCCCCAGACAGAACACAAAGAAGAGGAAAGTGTTTCCTGAGCTTACCCTAGACCCAGAAGAAGAGAAAAAAGGGACTCACCGAGGACAGTCAGCGTGGTGCCACCGCCGAACACAGCACACTGTGATATAGCCCTGCACACAAACCCTCCCGATTTGCCCAACCTAGGCCCCCCTGCAGCTGCTCACAAGGCCCAGGGTCCAGCCCCCTCTTCTCATGGGTGGGTGAGCCACAGGTGGGTTGCCTTCCACTGACCCAAGCATCACTTCCCTGGGGCCTAGGAGTTCATCCACCCAGTCATGGGAGGTGTTGACAGGACTGTGTGTGGACTTGTCTTCCAGGTAATCACATTTCTGAGGGGCCCTTGGGTGGCCTGAATCAGCTGGTGTCAGGAATGCCAGGGAGGCAGGAGGAGGAGGTGAGCGTTGGGTGACACCACTGACATGGTGCAGCTGCGACCCCTCTGAGAGGCTAGGAATGGTGGAGAGGGTCCTGGATGCCCTACCTCCCAAACCCTCAGCACTGAAGCTCATGGTGGGATCAGCCTGGAATGACAACTGGCGGTTGTGGGGAGAATGACGTTGACCACGGGGACACAGACCCTCCTTCAAGGCCTGAGCTCCAGCATCCTTGGCTCAGCTGATCTGAAGGAGCAGCTCACAGGTCTCTGCCCGAGTCCCCCCTTCCTGAGCCTGTGGGGCAGCTTCGTCCCTATGGGCTGTGTGTGCTGGATCAGAGCTGCAATGGAGCAGAGGAGAGGTCCTCAAGGGGGTCATAGGCCTCACTGGCAGAGTGGTTTCCTCCAGGAGCTCTACGTGTGGGGGTCTCTGCTGTTCCCTTCAGCTCCTTCTGGCTTACACATGTACCCACATGTGTAACATGCTCTGCAGTACCCTATGCGCAGTGGTGACCCACACAGCCTGTCCTCAGGGGTGTCACCCGCACGAGATGCACCCACAGTGTATGGGCACGTGCAGTGTGGGGCCTGGACACACTGGGACTGGACTTGCATCCTGGTCTGGGCCCATCGTCTGAAGAGCTCACACCTGGGACACACACCTGGCACCCCGCAGTCCCAACAGAGTCCCCCACAGCAAGCGCCTCACCTGATCTCTGAGATGTGGCCTGCTGCTCCCCGATCAGAATCCTGTCCTTATTGTCTCCTATCTCATTGTTGACCTGGACAGAAAATCCCGCCCCATCTTCCCATGCCTGGGGGCGATCCCCTAGTCCCAAAACCTGGAGACTGCAGGTCCAAGCTTTGCTTTGCTCATGTCCTGACCTAGGCCTGACTATAGCCCTTTTTACCTGGGCACTTCCTGATCCTGCCAGAAGGATGCCCAACATGGGCATGTGTGTATGTGCACTGTGTGTGTGTGCACGTGTGTGTGTTGTGTGTGTTAGACCTCAGATCCCATGCTGCATTCTTCAGAAGACAAGTCAGCTTCACCCAAGCCCCTGGCATATGCCCAGAATCAGACTCTTGACTTTGAACTCACCAGCCAATTGACAATTTGTGCACTCAGGACGTTAGGCACTTATAGTGGCGTCAGTGAGGAGCTGACACTTGTCCCCTAGGAACCTTAAATACGGCTGGGACATCCAGTGACACATGTGGGATGAGAGACACCCAGAGGGGAAGGTGGGGTGAGTAACCAGGTCCAGGGGGTAAGGGCCCTATCAATGAATGGGAGGCCCTGTGGGGGCACAGGGTAGGGTCCTTGGGATGACAGGAACAGAGTGTGCCCAGGCGGAAGGAGACTTTGATGAGAGGAAATACGGGTGAGGTGACCTTTATGGACTTGGAGGGGGATCGAAAAACACCTTGAGGGAGGAACAGCATCTGGACAATCAGGGCTGAGGGCAATGGGGAAGGGGGCTGAGATGTTCTCCTGGGGCCATAGGGATTTCAAGAGGGTGTGATCCCGGGAAACCAGAGGTGGACATGTCCACAGGGCATCAGGAAGCACAGGACAGACGTGGGTAAGAAAGAAGTTGCCTAGGTCCAACTATTTCTTTATTCTGGAACATTCTATGGGGATAAGGTGATGAACAAAGTATGCCTCAGAGAAGCATCAGGATGCTCCCCACTGTTTTTTCAGAAGTTCAGAGGGTTCTGTTCACCTTTGGAGATGGTCAAATTTAGGATGTAAAATGTATAAGCAAAAATGAGCAGACAGCATGTTTTCTGATTGATAAGGATGACATTTATTGAGAGTTTATTGGGTGTAGGCAGAAGGGCTGGATGGCTTGGGGTGGGAGGGAATCTGTCCTGGGATTCTGCAGCTGCAGGCCCCACGGGTGGGGTGAGGGTTGGGGGCCTAAGAACATCCTGAAGGGGCCACTGTCTTCTCCACGGTTTTCCCCTCGTGCGTGACGTGGCAGCTGTAGCTGCTGCGAGACTTCCACTGCTGCGGCGTGAGGCTCAGGTAGCTGCTGGCCGCGTACTTGTTGTTGCTCTGTTTGGAGGGTTTGGTGGTCTCCACTCCATCCGTGACGGTGTTGCCATCTGCCTTCCAGGCCACTGTCACGGCTCCCGGGTAGAAGTCACTTATGAGGCACACCAGTGTGGCCTTGTTGGCTTGGAGCTCCTCAGAGGAGGGCGGGAACACAGTGACCGAGGGGGCGGCCTTGGGCTGACCTGGGAGAGGGGCAAAGGGCAGGAGGTCAGAGTCCCGGTGTCCACCTGGGAGCTCCCGGCCTCAGTCTTGAGGCGGGCGCAGGACTAAGGCCCAGGACAGGGACCTGAGGCAGGGCCCTTGCTGCATGAGGTCAGCTCGGCGGTGGTGGGGACGCTCACCTCCCGATGGGAAAGGCCTCAGCGTCCGAGGACTGGGGAGACTCAGGTCTCTTTCACTCCAGCCTCCTCTCTAGATGCCCCCACCTTGTGAGCCAGGCCTCACCTCACCTGTGCTCTCCGCTGCTGGCGGGGCGGGGTTAGCCCTGGGCCCTCGCCTTTCCTCAGGGAATGTCTCTGTCTCAACAGCCCTCCCAGGTCCCTCTGTGTCTGTTCACGAGGGCGTCTGTGTCCTGTTTTGAGGTTCTCCTCCCTTTTGAGGAGTCAGTTGCTTCCCCACAGGCCCCCTGGTGCCATCACTGCAGTCCCCACCTCACTTTCCGACCGAGCCGCCTTTTAGGGAGAGGGTGTTAGTCCCGGGCTCTGTCCCTGGGAGTCCCTGGGAGTCTGGGAGATGGAGGGCTTGATGTGAGGTACGTTTTCTGTTCTGAGCCTTGGGCCATGTGTGCTCCATGCGATCTCCCTGTCATATTGTGAGATCTGGCTGTTCTAGGATGTCTGTCTGCCCTGAGAGTTCCCTGTCACCTGTGCCCAGCAGGGGTTCCTCCCATAGCATCTGCTTTGGGGTCTCTCCTTTTTTGTGATGGGGAGGCTCTAGCCTTGACCTGAGTGTCCTGAGACCCACCCTGTCCATGGCAGCCTGCCTGTCCTGGGGGACGAGGAGGGACCCAGCACCCTGGGGCCACCTTCTCACAGGACATTCTCTCTCCATCTTTGTCCCCTTTGATTTCCCCACATCCCCAGTCAAAAGCTTCCCTTCTAGGCGTTTAAAGCAGCCCCATAGTTAGGACCCAGAACCCTAAGAGCTGAGCTGTTTCCCGCATTCTCCCCTCTCCCACCACCCTGGTACCCCAGCCTGACCCCCTGTTCCACTTGTCCCCTGGCCCTCAGACTCTGAGGGAGGGAGTGGACAGCCCAGAGCCCAGGGAGAATGCCCATGGGTGACAGCGGCAGGGTCAGGTCTCAGCAGGGAGCAGGAAGAGGTCACTGGGATCTTCCCTCTCTGCCCCATCAGGTGCCTAAGAAGGGACAGGCTGGAGGAGTTTGGGGCCAGCAAAAAGGCAATGGTAGCAGACCCCAGAGATTGAGACCCCTGCCCCAGACAGAACACAAAGTAGAGGAAAGTCTCCCAAGCTCACCCTAGACCCAGAAGAAGAGAAAAAGGGGACTCACCGAGGACAGTCAGCGTGGTGCCACCGCCGAACACATTACACTGTGATATAGCCCTGCACACAAACCCTCCTGATATGCCCAACCCAGGCCCACCGCAGCTGCTCACAAGGCCCAGGGTCCAGCCCCCTCTTCTCATGGGTGGGTGAGCCACAGGTGGGTTGCCTTCCACTGACCCGAGCATCACTTCCCTGGGGTCTTAGGAGTTCATCCACCCAGTCATGGGAGGTGCTGACAGGTCTGTGTGTGGAGTTGTCTTTCAGGTAATCACATTTCTGAGGGGCAGTTGGGTGGCCTGGATCAGCTGGTGTCAGGAATGCCAGGGAGCAGGAGGAGAAGGTGAGCATCGGGTGACACCACTGACATGGTGCAGCTGGGACTTTTCTGAGAAGCTGGGAATGGTGGAGAGGTTCCTGGATGCCCCCCCTCCAAACCCTGAGCACTGAAGCTCATGGTGGGATCGGCCTGCAATGACAGCTGGGGGTTGTTGGAAGAATGACGTTGACCATGGGGACACAGACTGTCCTGCAAGGCCTGAGCTCCAGCATCCTTGGCTCAGCTGATGTCAAGGAGCAGCTCACAGGCCTATCCTCACGTTCGCCTCCTCAGCCCTTGGGGCAGCTTCCTCCCTATGGGCTGTGTGTGCTGGATCAGAGCTGCAATGGAGCAGAGGAGAGGTCCTCAAGGGGGTCATAGGCCTCACTGGCAGAGTGGTTTCCTCCAGGAGCTCTACGTGTGGGGGTCTCTGCTGTCTTCTTCAGCTCCTTCTGGCTTACACATGTACCCACATTTATAACATGCTCTGCAGTACCCTATGCACAGTGGTGACCCACATAGCCTGTCCTCAGGGGTGTCACCAGCACAGGATGCACCCAGAGCCGATGGGCACGTGCAGTGTGGGGTCTGGACACACTGGGTCTGGACCTGCATCCTGGTCTGGGCCCATCACCTGAAGAGCTCACACCTGGGACACACACCTGGCACCCCGCAGTCCCCAACAGTGTCGCCCACAGCAAGCGCCTCACCTGACCTCTGAGATGTGGCCTGCTGCTCCCCGGTCAGAATCCTGTCCTCATCATCTCCTGTCTCATTCTTGGCATGGGCAGAAAATCCCACCACATCTTCCCATGCCCGGGGCGATCCCCTAGTCCCAAAACTTGGAGACTGCAGGTCCAAGCTTTGCTTTGCTTATGTCCTAAGCTAGGCCTGACTGAAGCACTTTTTACTTGGGCACTTCCTGATCCTCCCAGAAGGATGCCCAACATGGGTATGTGTGTGTGTGCACTGTGTGTGTGTGTGTGTGTGTGTGTGTGTGTGTGTGTGTGTGTTAGAGCTCAGATCCCATGCTGCGTTCTTCAGAAGACACGTCAGCTTCACCCAAGCCCCTGGCATAAGCCCAGAATCTGACTCTTGACTTTGAATTCAACTCACCAGCCAGTTGACAACTTGTGCACTCAGGACATTAGGCACTGATAGTGGCGTCAGTGAGGAGCTGACACTTGTCCCCTAGGAACCTTAAATACAGCTGGGACATCCAATGACACATGTGGGATGAGAGGCACCCAGAGGGGAAGGTGGGGTGAGTAACCAGGGTCCGGGGGTAAGGGTCCTATCAGTGATTGTTACAGGGAGGCCCTGTGGGGGCAGAGGGCAGGGTCCTTGGGATGATGGGAACAGAGTGTGCCCAGGAGGAAGTGGACATGGTCTAGGCTTTGATGAGAGGAAATACAGGTGGGGTGACTGTATGACCTTGGAGGGGGATGGAAAAACACCTTGAGGGAAGAATAGCTTCTAGACAGTGAGGGCTGAGGGCAATAGGGAAGGAGGCTGAGATGTTCTCCTGGGGCCGTGGGGATGTGAGGAGGTTGTGATCCCGGGTAGCCTGAGGTCCACAGGGCATCAGGAAGCACAGCAGAGACCTGGGTAAGAAGCAAGATGCCTGGGTCTGACTATTTCCTTGTTCTGGAACATTCTATGGGGAGAGGGTGATGAACAAAGTGTGCCTCAGGAAACATCAGGATGCTCCCCACTGTTTTTTCAGAAGTTCAGAGGGTTCTGTTCACCTTTGGAGATTGTCAAATTTAGTATGGAAAATATATAAACAAAAATGAGCAGACAGCATGTTTTCTGATTGACAAGGATGACATTTATTGAGAGTTTATTGGGTGTAGGCAGAAGGGCTGGACGACTTGGGGTGGGAGGGAATCTGTCCTGGGATTCTGCAGCTGCAGGCCCCATGGGTGGGGTGAGGGTTGGGGGCCTAAGAACATCCTGAAGGGGCCACTGTCTTCTCCACGGTTTTCCCCTCGTGCGTGACGTGGCAGCTGTAGCTGCTGCGAGACTTCCACTGCTGCGGCGTGAGGCTCAGGTAGCTGCTGGCCGCGTACTTGTTGTTGCTCTGTTTGGAGGGTTTGGTGGTCTCCACTCCATCCGTGACGGTGTTGCCATCTGCCTTCCAGGCCACTGTCACGGCTCCCGGGTAGAAGTCACTTATGAGGCACACCAACGTGGCCTTGTTGGCTTGGAGCTCGTCAGAGGAGGGCGGGAACACAGTGACCGAGGGGGCGGCCTTGGGCTGACCTGTGGGGTAAGCAAGGGGCAGGAGGTCAGAGTCCTGGTGTCCACTTGGGGAGCCCCTGACCTCAGTGTGTGAGGAGGCGCCTGGCTCCCCAGTGCCAGTGCAGGACCGCTCAGATATGGTCCAAACTGTCTCAGAACGTATCATTCAGAAGCGTGTGATGTGATATTCCTAAAACAAGTCTGTCAGTCAGAAAACCTCTCAGCTTGGCCCTGCCCGTCACCTGTTGTGAAACCTTCCTACGCCTTCTTGGGCTTTTGTACAGACAGCGGACCTTCAACTGCCTGCCCCCGCCTTACCCTGCCATCCTGACATGGTCTGGCTCTGGGCTCTGGCTGTGTTCTCTGAGCTCTGTGAACCTCCTGTCGGATTCACTCTAGAAACTTCTCACCTGACACAGCTGCTCTGGGTTGGGGGAGAGTGGGTCTCACCTAAGGACTCTGTTTCTACCCACATTTGTCTCTCCTGAGCCTCTGCAGTGGGATCAGGGCCTTGCTCACCCAAGTCCCACTGTCTGTATGTCCGGGTTTCTGTGTCTGTGGAGTCTGTGCTAGAGTCTGTCTATGTTTAGGGCCAATCTACAGTTTCCATCTGTGGGATGCAGAGAGTGCCCTCTCCCTCCAGGGAGAAGCTATATTCCTAGAATGCAGTATCCTGGATACCTTCCCATGAACTAGCCCTGACTCCAGGAGTCTTAGCCCCACCTTCCCTGCGCTTGTCCTAGTGGGGATGGGCCCGGCCAGCGAGGCCTGGCTTGGTGAAATCAGGGGTTCCTGCTTCTAGGGGTGCTTCCTACAGAGAGCCAACAGTCACCTCCCATACACCATGGCCTTCTGTGACCCTCACATGGCTCCTTCAAGTCTAGAGCCTTCCTGTCCCTCCTGACTGAGCTTCATGGGTCCCAGGCCAGCTCAGGGCTCTCTCCTTGGGAGCCCACAGAAACCTGGAGAGGCCCCTGCACCTCCTACCTTGTTCCCAGCCTGGATCTGGAGTCCCACAGCCCAGGGGACTGGGCCCTGAGACTCTGATTTTTCATTCCCCAATCTTGGCTTTGAGGGTTTGGGGTCCTTCTAAAGTCTCCCAGGTGGTCATTCCTTCAAGCCCCTTGTTCCCTCTCCCCTGTGAGATGGGCCACAGCTTCCCCTGCACAAAGCTTGCCAGGCAGATGGAAGCCCAGGCAGGAGAGGACAGAACTGGGCATGTTTTAGGGAAGCAGCCTGGCCCTGGCCAACACACAGACAGACAGACAGACAGACAGATGAGTCTCAATAGGTCCTCCAGTCTAGCGCCCTACCTCTGCGCTAGAGGTGAAGGGGTCTTGGTGACCCACTGAGGCAGGCAAGGGTCTGAACAGGGAGGGGAGAGGTCTTTGCCCAGGGCTTGGGCTTGAGAGAGAAAGCATCACCACAGGCCAACACAAGATTCAGAAAAGAACAAAATGAGCAGAAAATTGCCCTAGTACCTTGGGGAGAGCAGGGAAGGAGAGGGGAGAAGAGACTCACCTAGGACGGTCAGCGTGGTCCCTCCGCCGAACACCCAACACTGTGACACAGGCTTATACAAAAACCCTCCCTGGGACGCCCCCACCCCCAACCCCCACTGCAGCTGTGATAGAGGAAGATGGGGGCCACTGCCCCTGGTGGCATCTGCTCATGAGGGAGTTCACACGGCCCCACCCTTACCCCCACAGAGAGAAGGGGACAGGTGATACCTTGTGACTGGCAGCAGGATCCCTAGAAATCCCGGTTCCTGGAGGACATTGGCACTTTGGATTTGGTTTTCCCACCAACCATCATGCAATCACGGGAATGATTTTATTGGAGGGTATTGTGTCACCAGGAGTGAATTTCCGTAGTCAGGTATAAATGATCTCCCTAGTGGAGCTGACTCAATACCGACTGCTTGGTGAAACCCTGGGGTGAAGCAGAGAGTGCTGTCTCCCTCCAGGGAGAAGCTGGTTACCCTAGAGTGCAGTGTCCTGGGAACCTTCCCATGAACCTAGCTCTGACTCCAGGAGTCCCAGCCCTGCCTTCCCTGGGCTTGTCCTAGTTGGGATGGGCCAGGCCAGTGAGACCTGGCTGGTCCCCATTGGAAATGCCAGCCCCATCCTCCAGAGTAAAACGGAAGGATCTCCTGCACTCCTCAACCTGGTCTCATGTTGGTGGGCCAGGTGGGGTAGTGGCTGCCATTGCCTTATTCAAATGTGGGGGACATAAGGGAACTCCTGAGTGTGGTCTCCAGATATCACCTTCTGTTCAGGGAACTGAGGTCAGTGGGAGATCCCAGACCTGGGGCAGGAAAGGGACATGATGAGACAGAACCTCTCATCCTCCTAGAAATCAGGAGCCATGGAAGCTCCTGGGACAATGGGAGAAAACCAGATGCCACCTGAAGAGATGCCTAGGGGTACATGTCCATATTTTGTCGCCACATTGTCATTGGCAATTCAATATAACCACAGTGGATCCTGCATGTCAGGTGTCCTCACCTGCTAGAGCTCACTCTGGCACTACATCCCTGGAGGATGGCCGGGCACCAAGTCGTCAGTTATCACAGTGGTGAACAAAGGGGAAGAGTTACATTTCTTCTTTTTCCCAAAGCATGAAGCCCACTCCTGGGTGCATAGGGCAGCTGCTGTGCCCTCCCTTTATGGACATGCTGCAGCGTTCATGAGAAGGAGGTGAACTGAAGCCTCAACCCTCTGCCTTCCTTCTCATCTGAGGTGCGAAGTTACTGGTTATCAAATGTAACCGATCGACCCTCCACCTTCCTTTTCATCTGAGGCATAAAGTTATTGATCATCAAATGCAACTAATGGACCTCATCTTCCTTCTCATCTGAGGCACGAAGTTATTGATTATCAAGCAACTAATGTCACTAAAAGAGTGATAACACAACATGGGTGGCTTTGCTGGAAGTAACCACATGTCCTGGGAAGGGATTATGCCAGTGTCCTGCCTGAACCCCACTGAGCCTCTTGATGCTAGAACCATTTGTCAGGAAAAGAGAGGTTGAGGCAAGCGCTGGATTTCTGCTCAAGGTCACAGTGGCTGCATTCCGACTGTGGGAGGTCCCGGGACCAGCTCTCTGCTCCTGCAGCTCCAGCCTTGCCTGGGAAAGCCAGAGCCATTTGGGAGACAGCTGCAGATGGAATGGGCCTAAAAACACCTTCACTAATGATAACGTCGAGTATTTCAAGTATTTAATCGACTTAGAAACTACATTAAAAACCACAAATATACAACAGCACCAGAAAGTCAACTAAAAATATACACAATGTTATTCACAAGACATTGGATGAGACCCTCATTAACTGTGATGTCAAGAAATCCTTGATTCTCTCCATTTAAGTGCGCGATGACTTTGGCACTTGCTTCACATCATTGCTCAAGGGAGTAGTTTAGTTATTCTCCTGTGGGTGGCATCAACTGTCCCATTTCAGCTGGAGAAGGGCAGGCAGGTGTGTGGACTCTGCTGAGGAAATGTCCACCATGGGCAGTGCCCTGGCTTCCTGTATCACAGCTGCCGGTGGGGGATGTGACCGCAACTCCAGGGGTCTCACTTCCAGCCTCCCGGTGTTGTCTTAGTTTGGGATGGGTCTTGCCAGGTTCTAGTAAGAAATGGTAGCCTCACCCTCCAGGAAGTTGGATGCAAGCCCCTGTCACCCTTCCAGGGTCTTGTCTCATTTTTGGGTGTGTCTGGGGTGTCTGACTCAAAAGGGCTGTGTGAGTAGCACCCAGTGTGATCGATAAATCCCACCTCCCACTTCCAGGGACCAGTCTACTCAGGGTTAATGGGCAGTTCCAGGCAAAAGGCAGGAGAAAGATGTGCTCAGGACAGATTGTGAACAGAGAGCAGAAAGCTATCGAGGTCCATTGGGTTCTTTCAGGAGAATCCTAAGTCCACCAGAAGAGGCACCCAATGGGCCACGGTGGGTCATTGTTATCGTCAATAAAGTAGAACCATGGTGGACTGAAGTGTGTCACATACAGTAACATAACTTTGAGCTCACCATGATACCAAATAATTGTTCATCTTCAGAAGATGGCAGGCAATACGATCATCATTATTAAGATGCTAAATGAAAGGAAAGACTCAACATGTCTATGCTATTTCTTACTGAAATAAGAATCACACTCCTAGAGAAGCACAGAACATATGAGGGCAGGGCTTTACAAACACTCAGTAGAAGGAAAAGGTGGTCAAACTGAAGTACAGTCACCTCGCATCTGTATACCATCTAACGGCACTGGACACTAAGTGTGAAGCCCAGGTGATGTCACAAATAGGTGACCCCACATGGGAGCCCACTAGCCAAGTGGCCTTGCTGAAAAGTCACACTGAACCTTGTTAAACCTTTCTGTCCAAGAACCCATTTTCAGGAAACACAGAAGCAGAGAAGAAGCGCTTGGTTCCAGCTTGGGGAGGCTGCGGACTGCATCCTGACCATGGCAAGGTCCTGGGACCAGCCCTCAGCTCCTGCAGCTCCCACCTTGCAAGGAAATTGGAAATCAATTAGGAAGACACTTGCAGGTGGAACAGGTCTAAAAACACAGTCACCAGTCACAATTTCAAACCATATTGAATCTGCATAGAAATGAAATGCAAAATCACAAAATACCAACAACAATAACACAGGTCTAGTGAAAGAAGCATAGGACATTTGTGAAGCATTTGATGGGAAACTTCTTTTTGATATGAAAGAATTATTGACAATTTCTATTTAGGTCTGTAAGGATGTAGTTTTTTTTTTTTTTTTTTTTTGTCCATATTTTTAGAGACACAAATGGAATATTTAGAGTAACGGACATGATGTCTGCAATTTGCTTCAGACAACCATGTAAAAGAGAAGTTACTTGATTTTGGGTGGGTCAACATTAGCTGTATTATCCTCCTGTTTGCTTATTTTCTTGCTGTCAGTTTCCTGTAATATTTTACAAGGCAGTAATGAGAGGGCTTAGTCTTGGGACAGCAGAGGAAAGTCTGGCATCCTACCCTGCAGGGTCATTGAGAATGTGGAGCCCAACATGATCCTCTTCGCTGTAGGGGTCTCAGCTTTCACATCCATGAAATGGGGCCAGACGGGGTGGTGGGAATCAGGACCCTTAAGTTTCCTTCTAACTTGTAGGTTGTGATTTGGGGAAGGAGTGGCTGTGATTAAGCTCCAAGAGAACCCCCTTCTCTGCCCCACTATGGCCCTAGAGTTTCCTGCCCTTGCAGGCTCTGTCTCAGGCCTGGCCACCCAGCAGCTCTGATGAAGGCATCTGTCACATCGCTGATGTCCTGGAGGCACCAAGAAGGGACCTGACAGCACCCAGCACTGATGAGGAGGGCTTCGAAGTGAGTCTCCCAAGGCCACCTCACACGTTGTCAGGGACCCTGGGACAACTGTGTCTCTGACCTCAGGCTCTAGGGGCAGACGGAGGAGCTGAGCCATGTGAGGGAAGGAGGGAGTTGGGCCTGGTGGGGTGGGGTCTAGGGTAGCTGAGTCCCATGAAAGCCTGACCTGCCTGTAGCCCTCAAGTCACACTCACCCTGCCGTGACCTCAGTGTGACTTGGCTGTGATTCTTGGGTGGATAGGATTTTGACACAGCCTCCATCAGACTATCAATGGATGCCCATTCTGTGCTGGGGATGGTGTCTTCCTCATTCGACCCAGTCCACCTGAGTTCGACCCTCACACAGGCTGGCTATCATGGCTCCAGCCATAACCATAATCTAACACTACCATATCCCCTGACCTTAGAACTTGAGACTTCATAGTTGCAATCTCAGCCCCATGCACTCTTTCTGGCCTGGCCAGTGTCAACCCTGAGCCTGACTCATTTGATCACAACAAATCACCTGTGTGCCTCAGTCTCACCCCACATCCCAGCGCTAGTGACATGAACACCAGGGGCTTGAAGAGCACTCTAGGGCTCTCTAAGTTGGTTGGGACCGTGAATAGAATTCTTGATTTGTAAGGTTATATAACATTAATTGTTTTCCCACTGCAGGACTTGTCAGTACCTTTCATAACTAATGTGCCTCATGAAAGTGAAAACTACACTGAAGTGTTCCATTTTCCAGCCTTTTCATGTCTCCCTCATGATGGCACAACCATGGGCCCCTCACCTAGTAAATGGTCTCCTAACTGCATATCATGGATGGGACAGGGAAGTTCAACCCTGTTCCTGCTCTGATCATGGGCTCAAGGGCGTTCTGCCTCTAGCCCACAGCAGGGCCCCTGGAACACTCCTTGTTTCTCCCCGATACCCGGCTCAGGGCCACCACTACCCTCACTAGGCTCCACATCCTTCCCAGGTGGGCAAGGACTGCATTTCAGGGACAACTCTGCAGGGACAACTTTCTGCTCTGGATCATGGTTCCCACCGACACAGGGAGCTCACCTGTTCCCTGGCAGGTTGGGTGGGGCATGGGATGACGGAGACATGGGATCTCACCTGGAACTATCCCTGCCCCTCAGCAGTGACCCTTCAGCACAGGCACATGACTGGACACAGACGGCACATTGGAAACCCTGGGTTTTACACGGTCAGGTCCTTATTGAGAAGTAGAATTTTGAGGGTGTTGCACCCGTCTGAGCTCATGCCAGGCTGGTGGCTCAGGGGTACAGCAGAGAGTTGGGGAAGGGGTGACTGGGTGAGTTAGGACCCTCCAGAGAGATGCCTCGGAGAGGCTGTGAGTCTCCTCCCTTGGGTGACTTTCGCACTGGATGCAGAATTCCATCCACCCCAGACTGAGAACCCAGGAAAGGTTAGGAATTATACGTAAGAAAAGAAAAACTAAGATAAAACAAGATGTCTGGTTGACAATCAGAATATTTATTGAGGGCTTATTGGGTGCAGGGAGAAGGGCTGGATGTCTTGGGATTGGGGGGAGAGACCTCTCCCCTGGGAATGTGCAGCTCCAGGCCCCGTGGGTGGGGTGAGGGTTGGGGCCTAAGAACATCCTTCAGTGGCCACTGTCTTCTCCACGGTTTTCCCTTTGTGTGTGACGTGGCAGCTGTAGCTGCTGCAGGACCTCCACTGCTCAGGCGTGAGGCTCAGGTAGCTGCTGGCCGCGTACTTGTTGTTGCTGTTTGGAGGGTGTGGTGGTCCTTGGCCTTGTACCCAGCAGGGTGGTACATGTGCTGTTAGGCCGTTTGTCACTGGTGAATATCTCCTAAATTGCTCTAGTGCTTCCTGGCAAGGCAGAAGGAGCTGCAGGAGCGGAGAGCTGTCTGGGGACCTTCCCCTGGTTGGAATACAGCCACGCCTCCTGGAGCAGGAAACTAGGGCTTCCCTCGGCTTTTATTTTCCTCGAAAATGATTCTAGCATGGAGTGGACTAACCGGATTCAGATTGGACATTGCAGAATATCTTCCAAGGACCGGGGGCTACTTCCAGCAAAGCCACACATGACAGATAGCCACTCATATAGTAATGTTAGCTGCATAGGATGGACAATAGCTGGAAGGAAGGCTGAGGGTTGAGGCTTCTGTTCACCTCCTTCTCTTGAGCGCTGCAGTGTGTCTGTGAATCAGAGCACTGCAGCTGGGCTCCATTCACCCAGGAGTGTACCGCATGCTTTAGGAAGGAGCCCCTTTGCACACAGATGATCCAGAGCCCAGCCATCAATCCAGGGCGAATAATTCAAGTGTATTCTCACGCTGAACTCTAGGATTCAAGCCATCTAATGTTTTTGAAGCCACTGTCATTCTATTTAATTGGTGATGACAGGTGGCCACCAGTGATGAATATTTTCCCAATGGGAGTCTCCTAAAGGGGCATCAGACTTCCTCGAATGGCTCCAGGGAATTAAATGGCTCCTGATTAGTCAGAGGATAAGAGATTCTGTCTTATCATGTATTTTTCTTTCTTGTCTTACGTGTCTTTCCTGCCCCAGGCCTGGAATTCTCCACTGATGTCCCTTCCCTTAGTGAGAAGTAGTATTTGGAGACCATACTCTGGAGGCTCCCTCATGTCCCCCATTTGAAAAAGACAATGACAGCCACCACCCCAGCTGTCACCCAACATGAGACCAAATTCAGGGGTGCAGGGGATGCTCCCAAGGTTACCCTCGCAGATGTGGCTGGCATTTTGTATCAGGACCAGCCAGGCCTCATTGACCAGGCCCATCCCAGCTAGAACTACTCCAGAATATAGGGCTGAAACCCCCAAGGTTCCTAGAACACTGCACTCTAGGGCCACCAGCCTCAGCCTCTCCCTGGTGGGAGAGGGGCACCCTCTGCATCACCCCATGGTGTTACCAAAAGTTGAATGGTTGGTTCAACTTTGCAGAGAAGAGACCACCTATCCCAATCTGGAATTTCACTCCTTAGTGACACTGATGCCCTCCAATAAATTCAATCCTGTGCCTGGATGATGGTTGGTGCAAAAAACAAATCCAAGATCCCGATGTCCTCCAGAAGCCTGGACTCCCAGGGATCCTGCTATGGGTCACAGGATGTCACTGGCCCTCTTCTCTCTGTGGGTTGAGTGTGGGGGCTGTGTGGACTCCCTCATGAGCAGATGCCACCAGGGGCAGTGGCCCCAGCTTCCTTTTTCATAGCCCTAGTAGGGGTTTGGGATCAGGCTTAAGGTGAACACTAGCATGGGGCTGGAGGTCAAGCAGGAAGGGCGTGGACCACTAAGTCAGGCCGAGGTAAAAGTTAGTTTCTGGTTGGTTTGTGGATGGATCTTGATGATGGTCAGCCTGCAGGAGCAAGAGGACATGGGGAAATTGGGAACATGAGAAAAGTCACCAATCCAAGGTCAAACTCTGCATCTATTGATTGCCCAGGGGAGGCTGTATCAGAGTTGAATTCAGGATGAGCTTCAGGGCCAAGTCAGACTGGATAAGAGCTGAGGGAATGTGGGCTGACAGCTCCAGGCAAGGGCTGCCCTCCACTAGGAGTCAGATCCCACAAACCCTCCTGCCCACTGAGCACCCTCTCCCTCCCTAGCCCATGGTGGTGCAGCCTCCCCACCCCATCCCATGTACACCTGCTGCCTCATCTCAGAGACACTCATCCTAGTGTCTCCAACAGCAGATAATGTCAGCCTCCTGGGTGTGGTGGCCCCAGCCGTTTTGGTCAGTCCTCAGTGCCTGGGTACTCTCAGACCCCCTGTCTCTGCCTCCAGCACATCAGGGATGTGGCGGCTGCCTTCACTAGAGCTGCTGGGTGATCTTGATAGGCCAGGGACAGAGCCTGCAAAGGCAGGAAGCTCTGCGGTCACCATGAGGCAGAGAAAGGGCCACTTGGTGCTTGATCACAGCCACCCCTGACTCAAATCCCAACTTCTGAATTAGAAGAAGGCTAAGGATTCTAGTGGCCACAGTCCCTGTCTTATTTCACGAATGAGAAAACTGAGACCACCCAGGGAGGGCCAGATCCATAGCTCTGCTGGGTACAAGGCCAAGGTGGTCTCCACACCCTGGGTGATGGAGGTGCCATGTGCCTTCCAGGTCACCATCACAGCGCCCGGGTAGAAGTCACTCATGAGACACACCAGTGTGGTCTTGTTGTCTCTGAGCTCCTCAGTGGAGGGCGCGAACAGAGTGACTGAGGGGTGGTCTTGGGCTGAGCTGTGTAGACAGAGAAGGGGGTGAGAGAGGGCAGACAGAACCCCAGGGCGTTGTGGAGCCCCTCTCTCTGTCTAAAGTCTCTAGGAGGGTTCATGGTATGGCCATTTAGTCCACCTGGGGCCTCTCCTTCTCTCCTTTTCCCCATCCTTTCCACTCGTGCCCTGTGGAAAGCAGACAGCCCTGAGCCTGCCTAGGAGCCCTTCCAGAAGTCACCTTTCCCAGGTGGCCCAGCTCCTCTCCTCTGCAGCCTCCATTTCCCCATATACCCATGCCAGGCTGTGTTTCTTCTCCCTTGATCTCTGGAGTCTGAGTTTAGAATCTGGCCTTAACCCCCTGGATTCCTCATTCCCATCCCCAGACTCCCCCAACCTCCCACTTAATTCGTCCAGGACTCAGAGCCCCCTCTGTGAACTGCGGGTCCCTTGCTCAGCCCATAGGACTGTCCTGGCAGGCAGCGTGTGGGGAGACCTGAGCTTGCTTTGAACTGGAGCCTCCTATGCCCACAGGCACCAGGCTCTGCCCCAGTCCAGCCCACTCAGCTCTCCTGGCATGGGGTGGGCTCCACCTAGACAAGCCTCTTGGCTTTTCTGAGGCTCTGGGGTGTCTCCTTTCTCTGCAAGCCCAGCCACAGAACGCTTCACCTCAGCTGTGTTCTTGGGGCTGCTTCCTTAGACTATGAGACTCAGCAGCTCCTATGCCCACTCCAGCAACCTCTGATGACCCTGAACTTCTCCTGGTAGCCATGGAGTTCTCTCTACCCCTCATTCACTCCCATGTGGTCATCTCCTGAGTTTAACATGCCCTTTGAGGAAGGCAGGAGTCTGATCCATGAACAGACACCAGACCCCAGAGGTGACGGGGCTCCAGGGACAGACACATCTCTGCCTTAAGAGATCCTCTCCTTTCTAATGACTGTCCTGGGAGGGCTCTTCTCTGGGACCTCACCCAGTCTTATCCATCCCTCTGTGTCCTCATGTCCTCATGATGCAGCACAGGCTAAAGAGCTGCAGCCTAGACCCAGAGCCTTCTCTGTGCCCTTCATTGGTCTCCCCTTGGGGTGACCTCTGTGTCCCCAGGCCCCTCTGTGGCCTTCACAGGCTAGATGGGCATCCAGCCCTTAGCCTAGACACTGGGGTCCTGGGGACTATCTCTAAGGCCACTACAGGGCCCTTATTAGAACTGGCCTCCCTCCCTCACTCAGACCTCTGGCCTGGAAGAGGGGAAGGAGCTCTGACCCTGCTTAATCCCAGCCCAGGCCCCGTGACCAGGCTGCATCCCACTGTGGGAAACTGAAGGCAGCTGCTCCCACTGTGGGGCCCTTCCCGCCAGTTACTCCAAGAGTAACGCACATCCTCCAGTCCCCATGGAGAAAGGTAGGAGTCAGTGCTTAAGGCTGGGAGGGCAGAGGGGAGGAAGCCCCAGAGAGAGCAAATGGATTTTCCAGAGACAGCAGAGGGTGAGACAGGCTGGGAAAGGTTGAGAGCCACTTACCTAGGATGATGACCTGGGTCTTAGATCTAAAGATGTAACACAGTGACTGAGGCTCAGACCAAAACCCCCAAGGCCAGCACCTGGGGTCTGCTCCCTGGGGACTGGGCTGGAGCAGGAGCCTGCTGTGCATGACGGGCACAGGGTTGCAGTGGGCAGGCTAGGCATGAGTCGGGGGGTGGCCAGCCCCCCCAGAAGTGTCCCCGTACCTGTCCCCTGTCCAAGACAAGTGTCACCCACAGCCTTGGAGTCACCCCAGTGTGTGTCCTTCCTCTCTGAGGCTGTCGGTGCTGATGGCAACACTGGGACCAATAGGTCCCAGCAACTCCCTGAGTGACATATCCCTTCCTGTGCAGTGTGGCAGAGGAGTGCTGAATTGGCCTGGACCCGTTCAACCTCATTTGGCCTCATTTAAAGGGCCTCTGAGTTTTCCACACAAGTGTCCCCAGTCAAGCCAGGCTGGCTTTCTCTCTGGATTTAGAACACTGGGTCATTGCTGACTCAAGTGGTGATTCCTCTACTTTCTATCCATGGAGACGCAGCTCAGTCCCACTTTGTGCATGAAGCTTTTTCTGATATCTCAGATTATTTTTTCCATCTACCTATCCATCCAGCTGTCCATCCAGCTGTTCATCTATTTATCTGTTTATTCATCAATCTATCATCCATCCATCCATCCATCCATCCATCCGTCCGTCCATGCATCTGTCCACTCATTCATCCAACAGTTCCCAAGCACCCATCTATGTCAGATACTGTTTTTATGCTGGGACATGGCAGGATTCCCTGGCTCTCAGCCTCATTTCTCTTTGAAATCTATCCAGTTAAGGCCAAAAAGTCCCTTGTCCCAGTTTAGTCTGCAGTTCTTCCCCAGTCCCCTTATGTCTCTGCAAGAAGCTCTTCTTTCTAGTCACTGTCCCCTCCTTGGTGTCTGAGACTGCCCCCTCCCCTCCTTCTTGGCTTCCCTTTCTCCCAGGCCCATGCCCAGCTGCTGACTCCCAGATCTCCACCCTGGGTTCTGCTCTCTGTATTCTCCTCATTGTCTCTGCATCTGACTCTCATTGTGCACACTCACAACTGTCCAGGGGTCTTAGATCCCTATTTCCAGCCCTTATCTCTCTTTTAGGCTCCAGATTCATGTATATTCTGCCTCCTCATCCTCTGTCTACTTGGATGCCTTGTAGACACCTCCAACTCAACAGATCCCAGCTAAACTCATTTCTCTATAACCTTGCTCCCTCACAAAGTCCTCACTTCAGCGCGTTACTCTCCAAGCCAGAGGCCTGAGGACATCCCAGAATGCCTTCCCCTCATCGTATTGTCCTCTGTCGTAGACATCCCAGCAGAGAAAAAGAAAAACACCCAGGTCACACTCTAAGAGTTTATGATGGCAAGAATCCTTAGATTTTGCCAAATCTGATTTTACTTCCCAAGGCAATTTGTTTACGTTGGAAGATACCCATTGTGATAGGACCAGCAAATTTCATCTTAGCAGCAGGTTGTATTTAATACATGTGTGTTTAAGACATGTGCAGAAGATTTTTTAGGCAGAATTCAATAGTAATATAAATTCAGCACTTGTTTATGGTATAAAGAAAGCAAACATCTAGACTTTTTTTAAGTTACTGAAGAAAACTTTCTTAACTCAATGAAGAACATCGCCCCAAATGTACAGCAACGTTTATATTTAAAGGCAAAACATTTAAAGAATCAGAAACAAGCCAAGGCTGTCTACTCTCACTTTTATTATTCAATATATTCTATAGATTCTAGTCAATGAAATATTAAAGAGGCAGAGGAGGAGGTCTAAATATTGGAGGAAAAGAGAGAAAATTGTTTTTGGTAAATGGTGTGATAGTTGCCCACCCCCACCCCAACCCCATACATGGAGAATCAGCTGAAGAACTTCTGGAATTAATACAAGAGTTAAAGTGGCTGGATACAGGAGCAACATACAAAAGTTAATAGGGTTCCTTGCTATAGAAGCAGTATCATTGAGGATATAAAATTGAGAAAAAATTATAACTTCAATAAACTTATATTTATAAACCCTTTATGAATAAAAACATAAAGTGTGCAAGATTTGCATGAATAAAATATCAAATCACTTCTCTGAGTGAATAAAGAGTACATCATATCTCTGGACAAAAACACTGAGCATTATAAAGATAGCAGTTCTCAAATTAATCCCATATTCTGTGATATTACAAACATAACACCAAAAGAATGATTTTGAAAATTAGGGAACTGATTCTACAGTCAAACTCTAAGAATGATAATAGACATGACTATTTTGAGAAAAAGTAACAATGACAAGTTCTTTTCCTACCAGATACTGAACATACTATAAAGCTAAAATAATCAAAACAGGGTGGGCACAGGAATAGATCAATAGCAAGAGAACCACAGAAAAAATGTAATTAATCAGTAATGTAGTAGATGATAAAAGTCGCGTTTATATTCAACAAATGTGTGATGACTGGCTTTCCTATTTGGGAAATAAGGTTTTATTCCTTCATCCACAAAAACTCCAGGTGAAATAATGAAAAAAACCACACAACAAAACACCAATACACTGAATGTACTATAATAAAATAGAAAAATGATTTTATAATATTGAAATAAAGACAACTTCCTACACATGGAGGGGTCACAGAAACCATAAAGAAAAGGTTAAACCAGTTCAACACATAAAAATTTACAACATCTTTATGGCGGGAGACCCCATAAACAAAAGACCCATAAAACAGACTAGGGAAAAATATTTACAGTATGCATACTACTTAAGTGGCTAAAATCCCAAATATATCCCCATATATAGATGCAAGCAACTGAATGGAAAAGCAGGCAACATGATCACCAATTAATTCACAGAAGAAACACAGTCAATCAATCAAAATATTAAAAATTTCACCAGTAATAAAATACACAATAAAACAATAAACACATTCATTTTTTTGCTCATCGGATAGGCAGAATATAAAAAGATCGACAATATTGTGTTATTGACAAGAATGTAGGAGAGAAGGCACAGCCATTCACTGGAATGAGTGGACACAGACTTGGAAGCATTACCTATGAAATTTCAAAAGTGCAATCTCTCTGATCCAGCAATTCCACTTTCAGGCAACTATCCTGGGGAGATACATGAATGCACTTTGTAGGCATACACACATGGATTTCCACTGCAACATCATTTGTCATTTAGATTTTTTAGTGGGAATAACCTAGATGCCCATTAATAGGGGAATAATTAAATAAATTCTGGCTTATCTAAACTTTGCTTATAAAGCCATGTGAATGTGGTTAATCCATATGGACTGATATAGAAAATGTCAATAATAGATTATTTTTAAAGTTGGTAATATGCGGAATATCGCTCTGTTTTTCCAAAATAAAATCCCAACACCAATTCTGTATGTGTGTGTATATGTGTGTGTTTTCAGGGACATACACACAGGAAAAAGTCTGGAAGTACATAGAACAACCTGACAGTGGCCATCTCTGGGAAGAGGTGGGAGATGGTAAGCAGAAGCACTTGCTTTTACTTTATATACTTCTCTGTCTAATCTTTTTTTTTCTTTTGCGAGAGAAAAGAGTAATGTACAGAAGTCATTACATTTTATAAAGTGCTCTTTACAAAAAGAATAATGTACAAGAGTACATTACTCTTGTATTAAAAATTATATTAGAAGATAAAAATGAAATGTCCCTTTTTTGTGAACAATTTCACAAAACCAGAAAATTATAAAGCCACAATGAAAATTAGGAGAAATCCCACCAGCCAGAGAGACACACCATTGACATTTTTCTATATTTTCTGACAGATTTTTGAAAATGCACATATATACTTTAAAAACACAATTGGGCCAGGTGCAGTGGCTCATGCCTGTAATTCCAGTACAGGGGAAGCCCAGGCAGAAGGATTGCTTGAGCCTAGAAATTTGAGACAAGCCTGAACAACATAGTGAGGTTCTGTCTCTAAAAAATAATAATCCTACTACAAATGAGTCAGGCGTAGTGGCCTGTAACTGTAGAACTGGCTCTCAGGAGGCTGAGGCTGGAGGATCGTTTGAGCCTTGGAGGTTGAGGCTGCAGTAAGCTGTGGCTATTCCACTGCACTCCAGCCTGGGCAACAGAGCAAGACTCTTTTGAAACAACAACAATAACAAAACAGCCCCATATACAGTTGTGTTTTTTCCACACCCTTTTTGGTAGATATGATATTTGGGTTGCTTCCAGTTTTCTCCCATCATTCATAATGCTGAGCTAACCACCCTTGTTATAAACATTTGGTTACAGCTTTGATTATTCCCCCAAGATAAATTCCTGGAAGTGGAATTGCCCAATTTAGATAAATATATTTTGTTTTTTTACTCACCACCTATTTCTAAAATAGTTAACATATTTTCAACACCCATAGACAGTCCCAGAGAGTGCCTGTTCCCCTCTGCTCAGCCCTCTCTTCAGCTTCACGCTCCTGTTTCATAAGAATCTGAGACCCTGGCTGCTCTGGATCTGTGCCTCCACCCCAGCCCCAGGGCATGGCTCCTTCCAGGCTCCCCACCTACCCTGGACCTGGCTGTCACTCCCTCTCCTCCCTCCTCTAATCTGGCCTTGCATCAGCCTTAGATCTAGTGCCAATTTTTCCAAAAACACAAATCCAACTCTGATAATCAGTCTCCTACCGAAATCTCTCCAAGGACTCGTCCTGGCCCCAGGAATGGGTTATGGACCCTATGGTCTTCGTGCATCCCCTTCCCAGTCACCCAGGAACTCCCAGCCTCACCCCTCACTCTCTTCTCCTCTGGTGCTGCCCATCACCAGCCAGTGCCCCTTGATCTGTGAGACCAGCCTGGGCATCCCCCAACAGAGGGAGCTCCCCTCTCCCTTTATTGCTCTAAACATGGGCCGTGCGCCTGTTCCAATGACTGGACAGTGCCCCTCGGTTCAGCCCACCCTCCCTGTGTCCCTGAGCCTGGCCCCAATCAGCATTTATGAGCAAGTTGGTAAATGGAGGGCCTTAGGGGAGACCAAGCTAAGCCCTCGCTGCCTTCTCCAGGGAGTGGCCCCTGCCCTCACTGGGCAGGAGGCACATGGGCAGAGAGGAGGAGGAGGAAGAGGAGGAGCAGGAACAGGCCTGGACATTCTGTGGGGTCAGTGGCCACCACCCCCTGTGGATGTCCTGCCCCTGCCTCTGTTCCTGCCCTACCCAGGGGACTAGGACTAGGTGATTGAGGCACTGACCCTGGTGCAAAATTTAAGTGGGGCCAGAAAACCCAGAAATAAAAAAAAAAAAATAGTTTAATATGATATTACAAACAGTAATTAATTCAAGCAAATCTGTGACGGACAAAGTATCAACCTATTAGTTAAAGCCAGTGTCTCCCAGGACCCTCTTAGGGGTTAGCTTCCTCATCACCTCTCTGGGTTGTCTCCCCTTGGCCATCCTTTCCCAGCTTTGCAACAGGACCCCCACATCCCCTGGAATCTCTCGCCCCTTACCTGCCCCACAGCCTCCACAGGCTGGACCGGCTGCTTCCAACTGAGGCGGCAGAGTCTGGGACCCGGCTCTGCAGTGTAGCCGTTGGGCTCAGTAGGCCATGGGCGACCATGGCCAGACCCAGCCGCAGCAGGGGCCAGCGCTGCCTGGGACCAGGGCCTGGCGCCTTGGGGATCTCACGACCCACTTGCTTGTCTTGGGTTTCATTGGCCCTCAGGGTCAGAGGCACCTCTGGCCTGACTTGCAGCGTGGGCTCCCTGGAGGGTGGCACCCTGGTCCCTTTCTCCAGCAGGGCTGTTAAAGTGCACCCCAGTCCATCGGCCGTGTCCTCTCCCTGGGCTGGCTCTGGTCCCTGTCCCTGGTCCAGGCCCCTCCAGGGTCCATGGCTGTTACCCGTGGGGATCTCTCCCAGAGGGGCAGCTACCAACTACCCTGCTGTGGTCAAGATCCAGGGCTCAACGGCCTCCCACCACAGCCGCCTGCCCGGCCCCGCCCCTGGGGTTCTGGGTGGTAACACCTGACCCACTTCCCTTCCTCAGTTCACCAAGGGCACCCTGGTCTTTGGAGCATCTCCCTAGGGCCTAGAGAGCTGCCCAGCAGGAGTCCCCAAGGGCTTGAGCTCAGGGGGTTGGGGCTGGGGCTGGAGCTGTGGCTTCTTTTCTGATCAGTCCCCCAGGCTGGGTACCTGCACACTGCACTCCAGCCAGATGGGACCAGCCCTTCCTTGGCTGGGTTGGTCAAGCCTGGCCGGCTACCCTATGATCCTCTCCTGAGTCAGGCAAGAGCCCTGCAGGGAGTGATTCTATATCCTTCAGGTAAGGAAGAGTGGTGAAATCATAAATGTGGAGTCTATCCAGAGCCAGGGCACCTCTGGGCCTCAGTTTCCTTATCTGTAAAATGGGGAGAGAGTTCTTCTGCAGCAGGGAGGTTATGAGGGTTAAAGACACCATGTGTTTGCTAAGCATTCAGCGGGCATTGAACAGATTCGGGTCCTCTTTTTGTTCAGGATTCAAAACAACATGTGGGGTTTTCATGGGGCAAGTGTTCCTGTTTCACAGGTGAGAAAACTACCATCCAGAGAAGATGAATGCAGGGCCCAAGGCCATTCCTTGAGCAGGGAGCAAGCTGTGCTAGGATCTAGGGGGGAGCTCGCCCCCTGCATTCCTATTCATCTGTCCACCTGGAATACTCGTGCCTGGCTCTGTTCGGCACTAGTGGAGGAGGAGAGGGCCGGCAGGTGCTTTGAGTTGGGGTCCTTTTTGACTGTGATAAGGAAATATGATGCATAATACAATAATAATAGCAATGGTCTTTAGTGCTGGTGCTTTACAAGCCTTAATCCTGGGAGCTAAGATCATCTACTGTCCCCCACAATTGAAGATGAGGAAATGCTGTTCAGGCAGATTCCCTATTTTTTTTTTTTTTTTTGAGAGGGAGTCTTGCTCTGTTGCCCAGGCTGAGGGGCAATGGTACAATCTCGGCTCACTGCAACCTCCATATCCTGGTTGGGTTCAAGAGAGTCTCCTGCCTCAGCCTCCTGAGTAGCTGGGATTACAGGCACGTGCCACCACGCCTGGCTAATTTATTTATTTATTTATTTATTTGTATTTTTAGTAGAGACTGGGTTTCACCATGTTGGTCAGGCTGTTCTCAAATTCCTAACCTTGTGATCCGCCTGCCTCGGCCTCCCAAAGTGCTGGGATTACAGGCATGAGCCACTGCTACCAGCCTGATTCCCTACCTTTTTAATGTCCAGGGCCAAGAGGCAGCAGGGCTGGAGTCGAAATCTGAGGCCTGGTCCTTGCATGACACCGGGGCATGCTTTGCTGATGATGACATGGCTGTCTGGGTCTAGGTGGTAACACGCTGCTTGGTGCATAGGAAAACTCAAAACCCAGAGGAGCACAAAGGAGCGGCTCAATTAAACATGGGCTAGATCTGGTTGAACAAAACTCTTTTGCTTTGTGTGACCCCTTGCATCATTTGCACTCCTTTACCCCCCATTCATCTTTTCTGTTGCCCCTGAGATCCTAGTATAAAAATGTTTGGGGAGATCTTCAAGACCCCATACCCTGGTGAGAAGGCCCCTCCCCTGCCGCCTTACGGAAATGCAGTGAGGGTCTGCCCTCTTGCTTTCCAGTTACTTTTTCTGCCACAAAATCTCTAAAAACATCTGCTCACGTTCAGATCTGCTGCCTTTTAGGGATCTTAATGTTTTGTTTTAGCAACTCTCAAAGGAGCCTCCTAGGACTTCCTAAAGTGAATTTCCTGGGAGTCCCCCTTGAGAATTGCTTGGTTCACATTTTGAGTCACATACTCCTTAACTTCCCTGATAAATTTGGTGACAATCAGGGCAGCCATTTTTGTGGGTGACGGTAACATTCAAATAGCCTCAGACTTCATTTCATTGATAAAGATGATGGTTGTTGGGAGGCAGTTGTCTACTATGGATCTCTGCATTTCTGCATGTCTCTCAGGCAAAGGCACTGATTGCCTTTATTGTGGATGATCTTTTCAAGGATGTTTGTAGAGTGAACAACCTTGGAAGGTACAGAGGCTACCACTCTTTGGAGCAGAAGGCAGATATACTTACTGTCAAGTATAAAACATTTGGGATCCCTGAGCTCTAGCATGCAGATGTCACCTGGCCCACTTTGAATCACCTTGTGGAACTAGTGCAAGACAGTGCTAATACCTTGGCAACTGCTATTGCTGTGAAAGACAGACAATCCATTGTCTCTGACCCAGGAGTCTCGTGTCTTCTGCCAGCATCCATAACACTGTGGCAGGCCTACTTTTTAATCTGCAAATAGGGTGAAGTCTCAGACTCTTCACAGTTCTTGATGGTGGTGATAATGAGAAGAAGGGGGAGGAATAAAGAGATGAAGTTGAAGATGGTGACCATGACTTAATGGTTTGACCCATCAAATCAGTTTTCAAAGCTCTCCAGGCTGGATCTTTATACACATTGCTTGGGCAACCTCTGAGGGCCAGGTGCCAGGGGCTGGATTATATAAACAATGACCACACATCCCTGTCCTTGGAGATGGATAAGGCACTGAGCAGTAATGGGGTGTGGTTGCCCTAACAGACATCATTCAGGGCATAAGGGGGACCCCTGGGAAATCCCTGGTCCAACAAAGCTTCTCTTCCAATGGGGAGCTTGGTCTATTCCTGCCTCTGATCTTAGGCTTCTTGCATTTTGGAGGCTGGGGCAGGGTCTGCCCTGGGGGTCTAGGCTGAGGCTGTGCCTTTCCAGCCTCTCTGTGAATAAGACATTCGCCCATTGCTCAGGACCCAGAAGCTGTAGTTCCTTCCAGGGACAGTCCCGTCTTGGGGATAAAAAGGGGCTATCCCTAAATGCAGTATCCCCAGCTGCTGCCCCCACCCCCACCTCTGCACCTGCCATGGCCACTGGGCAGACATCACCAGCACAGACCACATCCTCTCATGGTGGCTGCAGTCGGAAATCCGAGTCTGGTTGGGGTTCCTGGAGGGCTGGACTGGGCCTCCCCAGCAGGTACAGCTGCAGCTCTGGCCACTCAGGCCTGCCCCATGTCCTCCTGGACTGAGAGGTGCAAGGGCTGGACCCAGGTCTGGCAGGGGAGGTCAAGTCCAGCTGTTCTGCTTGGCAGACCCCCTGCTCAGGGTCTCTAGTGCTTCTGCAGAGCCCTCTGGGTCCTGCCCTGGCCCTTCTCTCCCAAAGCAGAGGAGTGTACCCCATCCAGTCGCTTCTGCCCTGCTCCATGTCTGAGGGTATCCCCAATTCCGGTTTCCTGCTGGTCAGTCCCCTGCCCAGTCTCCACTCCCTAGATCTCAGAAACTCCACCTGCAGGCACTGCAGACTCTTCTCTCCCAGACCCAGGGGTCCCCAGCTCCCCACTCACCGTCATCCCTAAATTCCAGCTGGCTGGTCTTTCTTGTCTCATCTTGAGCTTCTCACTGCTGGGATCTGGGGGAGTCTAAGGCACAGAATGACAAAGTATTGGCTGGGGATGTGACAGAGGTTCTGAACCTCTGAGTCTTCAGAGTTAGAAGCTGGCTCTGCAGCTTGTGATACCACTCTGAGGAGTCCCCAGGAACCCCAAAGACCCCAGCTCCTCTGGTGATCCTGGGTTGCAGCCTCCACCCCAGCTCTCCTCCAGGAAATGGGAGAGATTCCTGCTCCCTTTGTAGATGTCACAGACTGGACTCGCCAACCTGGCAGGGTAGTCTTCTAGCTCCTTCTACTGATGTGGAAACAGAGGCTCAGAGAGGGAGAGTTTCTTGCCTGAGGCACGCAGCAACTTGGTGTGAAGACTGTGTCCTAGGATTTTGCTAATCGCAGCCAGAAACCTGGGAGAACCAGCCTTTTTGAACATGGGGTGGAGCCAGCCTGGAACTGGATGGTGGAATTTTGGGAGGTGTCTGTTCTTTATCCTCTACCAGCTGCCTGGAGTGCAGCTGTAAGGGGAGAGTCCAGTAGGGGGCAGCAGAGACCAGCAGTGGAGGAGCAGGACCCGGCCGGAGCTCTTCAGAAGAGGGAGGCGGAGACCCAGGGGAGGGCTCTGGTGGCCGGGCAGAAGAGGGTGCAGGGGCCTGACTCTGGTTTTGCATCTCCGTGGGCACTCACTCTCCTGTGGGACTGTGGGTAGGACTAAGAGGGAAACCACTGAGGTGAGTGGGTCAGATCCTGAAATTTTGTTCATTGTGGATTTTTTGGGCATTAATTTCTATTTTTGAAAATATTGCATTATTTATCTGGTCACCACGTTTTTGGATGCTCCTTTAACTTTCGTGTTTAAGGTGAGTGATGGCTGTCACTTGAAACTCCAGGAAACCAGTGTCTGGAGACATGCACACAGGGGCTATATACCTGACACACAATTGTAGAGCCCTGAGTCCTGGCTTGAGAATATCAAACCTCTAGCAGTGAAGGGGCCAACTGTCCCACTCAACACTGTGTCCCAGTCACCTGGCTTGGCACCTGGCACATAGTGGGTCCTCCATGAATATTTCTTGACCAAATGAATAAACAGACCAGGATTCAACACCAGGCCTGTCTGACCAGAATCTCTTTCCTCTATACCCAGGGACTTCCAGCTTGGGAAGACCCTTAGGATTGGACTCACTCACACCTCAGATGACCACCTGCTCTTCCGTCTGCCACCTCCTAGGGAAGGGGTTGCAGAGCATCAACTCACTGCGACATCATCTGCCCCTGATACAGGCCCTGGGGCCCCAAATCGAGGTGACACCTAGAACTTCCTCTCTCCAGGACTCTCTTCCCTGCTGGTGTGGGGAGCATTCCAGGCACATCAACCACCGGTATCCAGAGAGGTGAATCTCTGTCCTTGTTGTCCCTGAAGTCATTTTCCCCAACTGGAAACATCTTCTGTCTCGACTGAGCAATAAGACCCCCAAAGCCACTCTGATCCCCCCTTAAGGAGTCCCTAGGAGCCTTGAAGACCTTAGCTCT